TAATATTCTTGTTAATCTCAGATAAGTTTTCTGCGCCGCAGGCAAAAATTTTGAGAATTTTGGAAAGCATTAGGAGAAAAAATTCATTTGTTAGAGCAGGAAACAAAAATCTTTTTGAAGTTTAGATGGTCATGAAGCCAAAACTCTTAATTTTATGCGCCGCAGGCGAAAATTTTAGAAAATTCATGACCAAATTAAGAATTTTTAAAGTTTTTTCAATTTTAAGATATTAAAAAAAATAAATTTACAAATCTAAAATCAAAATCAACGTTTAAAAACATTTATTTTTGGAAAAAATTTTTCTCAGATAAATTTCACAATCAAGGGTTCGAACCAAGCCCCACGAAATATCAAAGGAAGTGGAGCCTTACTTCTAAACCACTCAACCACCAACCAACAAAAGTAAAAAAGAAAGAAAATATATATATTTCTTCCTCTTTTCATTCTAAAATTTAATGGCAAAATTTTCGTAATTCGTAATTTTTCCTGATATTTTCGTAATCGTAATTCGTAATTCGTAATTTAAAAAATTTTTTCGTAATCGTAATTCGTAATTCGTAACTGAAAAAACGCCGTAATTCGTAATTCGTAATCGTAATTCGTAATTACGACGCAACCCTGATTGACAGCAAAGAGGGAAAATTAATCTGAGACTCAAATAGGAGTGGGGGGTGGCTTATGAACAAAGTACCGAAATTTTTTTTTTTTTCTTTATCGACACAAATAAAATGTGAAACAATAAAATAAATACTCCTGGATCCACAAGGATCACTTATGGAGATAGTTAAATTATACAAAAAAAAATTTTTAAAATACATATGGTAATACAGTTAAAAAAATATATAGTTAAAAAAAATGGACTCCACAGAAAAAAATATATAAATGCAATAAAATTATACACAATAAAACGAATGTCATAAAAAAATAGCTTAAATAAATATTTTTAACTAAATGGTCAAGTAAAATTTAATTAAAATTAACTTAAAACAGTGAACATTTTGGGTAGGATTTATTTTATTAATACATTTATTTTGTTAATACATTACGCTCCATTAACCTCTTGCTTATAAATTAGAATCTTCGGCGATTAATATTTTATCTAAAAGTTTTCTAAATTGAGGAATAGTATTGATTTTTTCCATTTCATTTTTAGGAAGTTTATTCCATTTATCTATAACTCTATGTGAGAAGAAATGATTATTTTTGGCTTGTTTTTTAAATAATTGATATCTATGCAAGCGCGGATTATTTCTATTAGGTTTTGAAAATATTTGTTCAGGCTTTATTTTATAGAAACCCTTTACTATTTTGAAGGTTGTCATAAGATCTGTTCTTATACGACGGATATTAGTTGGTGGGAGATTGCATCTTTTTAGTCTTTCGTTATACCCTATTTTCTGATATTTGTATTTATATCTTAAAATTCTCCTTGTAAAACTTTTTTGCGGTCTTTCTAATTGTTTATTAAGATATTCTAATTTGGGGCTAAAATTTTCAGTGGAATACTCCATAAGTGGTCTTACGTATGTTTTGAATGCCTTGACATATGTTTCTATTGGTAATGTTTTGGGTAATATTCCTAGGATATTATTTAGCCTTATAAACGAGGACTTAGTAATTTTTGCTATATGTTGATCGAATTTAAGTCTGTTATCTATGTATATACCTAGGTCTCTTATGTTAGTAACTTCTTCGATTTTTTCACCACTAATCTCATAATTAAAATTAATTTTGTTGTATATTTTTAAAACCTTTACTTTTGAAATAGAGAATTCTAGCTTATTATCTTTTGCCCATCTATATGCATTGTTTATAGCTTTTTGTAGCTCTATGCAATCTTTTTCTGACTTTATTTCTGAATAAAGCTTGAAATCGTCTGCATATAATTTTACTTTAATATTTTTTGGAATGTGGCTGGGCAGGTCATTTATATATATCAAAAACAGCAATGGTCCCAGGACAGTCCCTTGGGGGACACCTGTTTTAGGCAAAAATGGTTCAGAGTAATTCTCATCTATTTTTACAATATGAGATCGATTATTTAGGAAATTTGCTACCCATCTAATTGTTAACCTATCTATTTTAATTTTTTGTAATTTTCTAATAAGTATTTCATGATCTACTTTATCAAATGCTTTTTGAAAATCAAAATATATGACGTCTGTACCTATTTTTCTATCAAGTGAGTTGAACCAGTCTTGCATAGATGATAAAATTTGGAGTGTACACGAGCTTTTGGGTAAGAACCCAAATTGCTCTTCAGCGATTATTTTATGTTTGTTAAGGTGTTCTAATAGCTTATTCGCTAGCAAGCGCTCAAAAACTCTACAAACTGGAGATGTTAATGCAATTGGTCTATAATTTTTTGGGTCGTTTACTGAACCCTTCTTTTTAAATATTGGTATAATGTGTGCTGTTTTCCATAATTCAGGGACTATTCCGGTCTTAAATGTATTGTTATATAGAATTGATAGAGGAAGAGCTAATGGGGTAGCACATTTTTTTAGGAAATATTGATTGATATTCTCAGGACTATGGGATAATTTATTTGGGAGCTTCTTGAGTAATTTTTCTATTATATATGGTTCAAATATAATTTCTTTATGATTTTCATCACCAGCTTCGATGCTTATTTGTTTATAGTTTATATCTCCGCTAACCATTTCTTCAAAAATTGTTTTAAATTTTTTAGCTTTGTCAGTGTCTAAGAATATTGGGTCACTTTCCTCAGATTCCTTAAGTATTGGTATCCCAGAATTGAATTTGTTTCTTTTCACCAATTTATATATCTCCCCTATATGCCCTGATCCTATCTTTTTAGATATATGTTTGTTTTTATATTTTTCTATTTCTAATTTACATTTAATTTCAAGACTTTTATAATTGTCTTTATTGAGCTCGCCTAATTTAAACTTTTTCCATGCCAAAGCCTTTTGTTTAATGGTATCTCTAATTTCTTTAGGATATTTCAAGGGTTTTTTTCACCGAATTTTTTAAATGGGATGAATTTTTGAATTGTTTGTGTTATTATAAGATTTAGCATTTCGGCCATTTCTGACGGATTTTTGTTATTGAATAAATTGGACCAATCGTATTGAGCTAAATACCAATTAATTGTTTTATATTTTCCCTTCTTAAATATTAATACTTTTCTTTTCTCTTTAGATTTTACTTTTTCTATTGGAAAAATTACTTCAAATGATATTGGTTTGTGGTCACTTACAACTAGATCATTAATTATATTATATTTTTCAATTAATTGTTTATTCTGGAGGATTAAGTCTAGTGTATGGTTATTATTGTACATTGTAGGCTCCTTTATTATTTGGTGTAAGTCTAACTTATTTATGTTATTGTAATAATATAAACTCTGTTTATCTTTTGGAAGTGCGGACTCCTGCCAATTTATTTTTGGAAGGTTAAAATCTCCTAATATAACATGTGAAAGTTCATTTTTGTATTTTTCCTTTATAACTCCCCAAATTTTTTTATCGTCATTTAATTTTGTATTTGGAGGCCTATATATTAAGTGAAATCTTATTCGTTTAAATTCTGAGTATATATCAAGGGTAAGAAGTTCGTGATTATACTGGGACATTGATAGAGTAGGAATTTTAACAATTTTTAGTTCCTTTTTGTAAAATGCGCCTACGCCTCCCCCTCTAGTAATTCTATCTATCCTTAGAAAGTTATAATTATCCGATAGCAAAAGGGTTTTATCGGATATTTTATCGCTTAGCCATGTCTCGCATAAAAATGCTATGTCGATATTATTTTTAATTAGATAATTCTCTAATTCAACCAATTTATATGTAGTTTTTTCTGAATTAATGGAGCGAATGTTTAAAAGTAAGCATTTCAAATTTTTTATTTTTTTATTTTTCTGTGAGGTCCCTAAATCCTAACCCATGGTCACTGTTTTTTTAAAATGAATTTTAAGATTACGGTAACAAGCAGTTCCATTTCCATGTTTCTGATTAATTTCCCTCACTTGCTGTTTCAAATAGTTTTGCAGCTGTAGTTCAGGTGGGGTTAAGTCCCTTCTTGCGAAGGGACTATGCCCACCCAATTTAGGTTGATGGATATTTCTGTATTGATTAATAAAAGAGTGTGCAGCAGAAGGTGTTGAAAATTTAACTTTGATGATGCGGTGAAAGTTGTTTTGTTTTTTGGCTCCATGTCTTTTTACTTCGAATGTTTTATTATCTTGGAAGTTTTTGTTGTTCACAACAGCATTAACATTCTTCTCGATAACCTTAATATCTTCTTCTTCATTATCTATTTCAGGGAATCTTTCGATAACTGCATAGTAGCTCTTCTTTTCATACAACTCCTTAAGTTTTTCATCGAATTTGGGCTGTTGAAGTTGTTGGATTGTTTCTGCTGCCTGACGAATTTTTGGTGGCATTAGATTCGGGGGGCAACCCCACTGAGATATTGGTTGTGGGTTTTGGGATGGAAGATTTTTGCTGAATTTTTGATGTAATTGTTCAAATAAGGTTTTAATTGTAGTTTCAATTAATGGTGTCAGAAGTTGAACAACATTACGAGAAATTTGTTCAAGTTGTTCAGTTGATAAAAGCGGTGTTTTATCAATTTCACTGTCCGTACTAATCGATGTACATGGTCTTTTTGCATTTCCCATGACGATTATTTTTTTAAATATTTATGGAGGAATGAAAGAAAATAATTTAAAAAATTTAAAAAATTTTTTCGTAATCGTAATTCGTAATTCGTAACTGAAAAAACGCCGTAATTCGTAATTCGTAATCGTAATTCGTAATTACGACGCAACCCTGATTGACAGCAAAGAGGGAAAATTAATCTGAGACTCAAATAGGAGTGGGGGGTGGCTTATGAACAAAGTACCGAAATTTTAAATAATTTGTGGATATACCTATTAAAAATTGGTTGGGGGGGGGGGGGCGGGGACGGGCAAACTGGAAATATTCTTTCTTTTAATTTAGGTGGATAATGAAAATGTGGCTTACAAAAAGCGTATGATCGGAAAATTCGAATTCCTTAAAAACAATTGGGAAGAAATGATTGAGAAAAGTGAAAAAATTCCGACAAATGTCAAAGAAACTTTAAAAGAAAATGGCCATTCATTTATTGGTTATTGTTTGGCAAAACGCTTCCAATTTGTTTTTAACGATGAAGGACAGGCAAAAACAAAGTTTTATAAAGATAACAATTCATATCTTTTGAAATACGCGACAGAGATTAATGGAATATTGGGTCCAAGAAGAGTAGACTTGGAATATTACAAAAAACTTGAAAATAAATTTAAAGAAAATATTGAAAAATTAACAGAAAATCAAATGGAAGCAGGAATCTCCACTGAGACAGAAAAGTTGGGTAAAATGATAGATTTAATTTTGAATGATTATTGGGGGAATATATGTGCTATTGACAGAGATAATGTTCAATTTGAAAAAGTAGATGAATGGAAACTACAAACAGGTAATATGATAGAATTTTATAGATTATTTTTAAAAATAATTTATTTAATTGTAATTCTCGGTACTTTTACGTTGTAAAAAAGTACCGTCAAATTCCTTGACTGTACTTTAGGTAGTAGCGGATCCGAAATCTTTCGATTTACATATCTTTCGGTTGTCTCATCGGACTAAGTCAGATGGTAAACCTAATTATGATCGTAAATGTCGGGATTGAGATCTTTGAGAGATTTATACCTATCTCTAACAAATAAGACCTATCCTCTCAGTCCTCTATACCCGGGGACTGAAAGATTTATACAAAAAGCTTGTGGCATACAACGGAAAAGTACCAAATTTTTATTAAAAACTTTCGAGAAAAGATAAATATTAATTTCTGTTATCCTCGTTTTCTAACGTTTCAAAGGAGAAATAAAAATTAGTTTTCTAAAATTCATTATTTCATACAGTCAATACAATACTCAATGACAATTTCAATCTTGCTGATCTGAAGTTCGCTGGTATTGATCCTGATGACTTTAAAGACTTGAACAAAGCAAGCAACGAATGGGCAAACTTTAAAAATGGAGCTTGTAAAAAATAAATTATATTTTTATATTTAATATTTTAAATTAAGTGGAACGTTTCAATTTACATAAATTAACATTTACTGAGGCACATATAATAATTGCCTCCTTTCATAAAAATCTGAGTGATCGTATAACTGGAGAATCATTTGATCATATAACAAAAGAACAATTATTGTCAATAATCCAAAAAGAAATTCAAAAAAATATTTATTGGCAATTGAAAGAAGAAATTGAAAAAGTTTGTACAAAATATATTTTTACTAATTAAATTTATTTTTTAAGTTAAAAACAAATAAAAATGTTCAACAAGAATTAATTGTCAAAAAAGAATTGTCTCGTGTTGAAACTTCAATCGAATTAAAAGAAAAGTTAAAAGCCTGTGGATTGTCTGTTTATGTATTGAAATTTGTTTTAAATGAAAATCAAGGCGAAGAAGGAAATCGTTTTGGATCAATTACTCGATTCTTGTCAAAAACTCGATTTTTATCAAAAAATAATAATAGCAAGAAAGAATTGTCCAAAAACATGAAAAAATATTTGGAAAATTTTAAAAATAAATGTGGAGAAGAAATTAAAGAAAATAAAGATTTGAAAGAATTGAATAAACTTGTTGAGGATAATACAAATTTAAATGAAGTTAAAAATAATTTAATTATTGAAATTAACGAATTTGAAAATAAATTGAATGAAAAAATTAAAAAATTGGAGAAAAGAAATTTAAAAAGAGAATTTAAAAAGAATGAAGATTTGGAAGGAAAGTTGAAGAAGGAAACGGAAGAATATATTGACAGATTAAAGGAGAAATTGGCCTTTTTAGTTGGAAATTATGAGAAATTAACAGACAAAGATTCGGTTTGTTTAATTTAAAATTTTGAATGAATTTACTCAAAAAATGAAAATAAAATATTTAATTTAATTTTAGACTTCACAAAGTAATGGACAAATAAATACTTCAAGTTTATCAGCAATTATTTATTGTTTAGCAAATAAATTTTTGGAAATGTTTAATGAAGATGGAGTTGTTAATATGGATATTTTATTACAAAATATTTCAAATACAAATTTGATAGAATATGGAATGGAAATTAATGAAAAATTGGGAAAGAAAAGAGTTGATAAAATGTAAATAAATATATACAGTTAATGTCCTAATAGAAGCCCTCGGAGTATATTTTACAATGGGTCCCATTAATTTGGAATGGGTTTTAGTTTAAAAATAAAATGAAAACCCGGATTTATAGAAAATAACTGGTTTTTCGAGATTGAATAAGACAGTACAGGGCGGCCTATGCTGAGTTATAATTTTAAATAAATTATCATAATTAATGTTCAGCGGTATCGGGATTCCGAAAATATACTCGTATGTATATTATTAAATATTTCGAATTCAGTTTTGGGTTTTTCTTTTGCCTTTTAAATGACCCATGGTTTCGGATTAACTTACTGAGGTATTACTTATGTATTACTTACTCATTTTAGTACATGATTTTTCGATTTTTTAGCCCGAGTTCGTACACTATAAGGAGATTCGACTTTATTTGAAACCAAATTTATAAATATTTTAAAAGGTATTATCAACAAATTCTCAAAATGATTGGAGAAAATAGTAATGTTGAACTAGAAAAATTAAAAGAAAATTGGAGTAATTATTGTTACATTGACAAACAAAATGTTGAATTTGAAAGACCCGAGGAATGGGCACTTCAATATAGTAAAATTTTTAAATAATTTAATTATTTAAATTAAATTAAAGAAAATGAAATTGGTTTACAAGAGGATGGCTTTCGTTTGGCATATTTGGGAGAAGATAATGATGACAAAAAAACGGGAGAAGATAATGATGCCCTATTATTAGCAATTAATGATAAAGAAAGTGGATTAACAACAAAACAAAAGGAGGAAATATTTAAAGAAATATGTAAATTTAATTTAAATATTTCTTTTTTTTTTAATTTATTTATTAGTAAACAATTTCCATCTTCACAAAGTCACTTTCTTAGAAGCTCATAAAATGCTTGGTTTATCCAACTTTACAACAAAAACAACTTCAGAAATAGCAGAAACGTCTTCATCCCAAAAACAAGAAGAAACATACAAAAGAATTAAATTTGAAATATTAAAGGTTTTTAATTTTCGGAAAAAAATCCACAAAATTTCCTAACTTTCGTCTTTGTCTAAGAAGTTCAAATTTAAAAAAAAATTTTTACTTTTTTAAATCAATCGGACTTGGGACATCATATATACCCTTGGAACCTAAAAAAAGATTTCTTGTCAAATTAAGAAAGTCATATTAAAAAAGAGATATAAGCATGCGAAAAAGGGTCCGACCATAATATTTAGAAAATTCTTTGCTCAGCACTAAAATTTTTAAAAATTATTTATTCCAAACAAATTTAGATACAAAAAATCTTCAAAATTCAAAAAGAAAATAAAAATGAAGATGAATATGAAAGAATTATGGAAGAAATTAAAAATGAGGAAGACGAAGACGAGAAAGCTTTAAATGTTTTAAATAAACAATTAACAAATTTAAAGAGTGTCAATTCTCAATTCTTCCAGCAATTTGAAGGAAATATTAAATTAAAAACAGAATGGCAAAAATGTTTAAATTATGTTATGCTTATGAAAATATTTGTAAAAAATAATTTGAAAATAGAGGAAATTAAAAAGATAATTTCTGAAAAATTGGAAAAGGAATGCAAATTAAATGTCGAAAAAGAGAACAAGAAAATTGAAGAATTATATGAAAAAATTAAAGAATTATTAACTAAAGAAAAGAATGTTGTAACTGCTAAAGGATTAAAAAATTTAGAAAATAATTTAAACAAATTATTTAAAGAATTCAAAAAAATTATTGGTCAAATTGAAAATAAAAATCAGTTAATGGAGTATTTTGATGAATTGAAAAGTATTGAGAAAAAATCTGAAGAAAAGGGACGTCGAGTTGAAATTATTGAAAAAATGGATAATTTAGTGAATGGAGAAAATTTTAATGAATTTGATGGACGCTTAAAAAATAAATTTAAATTTTTGTTGGAAAATTGGAAAAAATTGTTTTTCTCAACTAAAGTACAAAATGAAGAAACCGAAAATATTTTTTATAAGCAAATATTGCCTGAAAGTAACGAAATTAAAAAGAAATTTGAAAATTCTGGTCCCCTTTTTGTTAAATATTGTTTAACTAAAAGAATTGAAAATTCATTCAATAAAGATGGAACTGTGAAATTTTCTGATTTTTTGAGTAATGGTGTTGGACAGGAATATGGATGGGAATTGAATAAAGTTCTGGGGCAAAGACGTATTGATATTGGGTAAATTATTTAATTAAATATCTAAATATATAGTGGAATCCTTTTAATAAGTCGCACTATTACACGTCACTTACGAAAAAGTGGATTTTACTTTATATATTTAACTAATTTTATTTTTAATACTAAATATTTTCTATTTATTAAATCAAACTTTAATTATTTTTTAGATATTACGAGAATATACAAAAACAAATTAAAGAAGAATTAAAAAATGTGTGCATGAATGTGGAGGAAGTAAATCTGAAAAATTCTTGTAAATTATTTTTGGAACATGAATTACAATATTGGCATTCTTTTTGTTCTATTGATATAGAACATTTACGTTTTGAACGTTTTGAAGAAATGAATGTTGTTACTAACAGTTATCAACATAAAAAAGAAAAAGAAAAAGAAGATACTTATGAGGAAGTATCTTTTGATGAATTTGGAGTTGTTAGTAAATACGAAGAAGAAATCAAAGGTGCTAGTAAGGAAACAACCTTTGTTGAAGTCAAAGGAGAAATTGAAGAATTGGGACGTTGAGGCTTCCCTTTTTAAATTTATTTATTTGGTATTATTTTTAATTTTATTTATTTTTAAATTCCTCATTTATTGGTAAAGGTTGTCGTTACTGAAATAATCTAGTTCTAAAGTAATTTTCAGAATAGACCATCTAATACATACTTTTTATGTAACATAATTTTTTTAATTTAAAGAGAATCCTTTATATCCAAAAATACGACAACCTTTGTTTAAAAGTAGCAAATCGAGAATGTATTTTTCATTCACATTGGGTTTTCGAATTGTTTAGGGTCGGGGTTCGGGTCGGGGGAGGGAGCAAAAAAATTGGTCGGGGTATGTGAGTTTAATGGAAATTTTTTAAGAAAAAATGCTCTAAAAACAAGCCGTTATCGGTCTAATTTCGTTAATTTATTCAAAAATTCATGAGAATAATGTGTGATTAAATGGTTTTGATGGATTTAAAGTGAATATCTGGTAGAGTTTCACAGAAAGTTCTGGTTCCGGTAAGCTCCGGCGTTTTTTAGTTTCGGTCCAGTTCCGGGATCCAAAACAAATTGGAACTTTTTCGGATCGGGGGACGGGGTTTTCACTTTTTTCGGGGCGGGGGTCGGGTCGGGGAAAATCTGAAAAAATCTTTCGGGAACGGGGGTCTGGGTACGGGGTCGGCGCGCAACTCTAAATCACATTTATTTGATTCACATTATTTAAATGTTCAATTGTATTTCCTTTTACAAAAACTAATTTGATAAATTAATTCTTTAAAAACAAATTAAATAATCATTTTTTAGTAATTATTTAAATTTTAATCTTGACAGTCTTCAAATATTATGTTATTAATAAATTTAGGGAAAATATTTTTATTTAAAATAATCTTTCTTTCACTCATATCAAACTTTGTGAAATTTTTATGTTCTTTGCCAATGTGGAAGATCGTTCTTACAATTATCATCTAAATAGATAAAAGGGGAAAATAAATAATTAAAAAGATAATGCCGTTTAAAAGTAAAATTGAACTCAGCATTGTTTTATGATAACTCCAAAATTAGGTACTCGATTTAAGACACGTTTTATTAATTTGGCTGCAGCCGAGTGAATCTCAATTTCAGCAAAAAGTGGTATAGGTATATTGGTTCCGTGACTTTTGCGCCGAGAACATTTGCGCCGCGACTCTTGCGCCGCGACTTTTGCGCCGCGACTTATGCGCCGAGTGACTTTTGCGCCGGGGAACCTTTGCGCCGCGACTTTTGCGCCGGGCGACTTTTGCGCCGCCACTATTATTAAAAATATATCAATAACTACAGCCGGACTTCACTTTAGTAGGGTTGTCGGATAGTTGGAAATCTTCGGATATCCGGATTCGGTATCCGAACCGAAATTTTCGGATATCCGGCATTTTTCGGATCCGGATTTTTTAAAAGAATGGCGGCGCAAATGTCGCGGCGCATAAGTCGCCCGGCGCATAAGTCGCGGCGCAAATGTTCTCGGCGCAAAAGTCGTGATACCGGTATATTAATGTGGTTTAACTGTATGTGTCCACATAAAAATGTTCGAAAAGCTTGATACGATAAGGATTCTATGTATGTATCATATCAGAGAATTATAGGCCCTATTTGAAAAAGAGGGAGTTTGATTTTTTTTCATCATTTTTTTCCAACCTTAATATATAAATAATAGTCAGTCCGTGCTCGTCCGTTTTCGTCCGTGCTCGTCCGTGTTCGTCCGTGTTCGACCGTGCTCGTCCGTGTTCGACCGTGCTCGTCCGTGTTCGACCGTGCTCGTCCGTGTTCGTCCGTGCTCGACCGTGTTCGTCCGTGTTCGACCGTGCTCGTCCGTGTTCGTCCGTGTTCGTCCGTGCTCGTCCGTGTTCGTCCGTGCTCGTCCGTGTTCGTCCGTGCTCGTCCGTGTTCGTCCGTGTTCGTCCGTGCTCGTCCGTGCTCGTCCGTTTTCGACCGTGCTCGTCCGTGTTCGACCGTGCTCGTCCGTGTTCGACCGTGCTCGTCCGTGTTCGTCCGTGCTCGACCGTGTTCGTCCGTGTTCGACCGTGCTCGTCCGTGTTCGTCCGTGTTCGTCCGTGCTCGTCCGTGTTCGTCCGTGCTCGTCCGTGTTCGTCCGTGCTCGTCCGTGTTCGTCCGTGTTCGTCCGTGCTCGTCCGTGTTCGTCCGTGTTCGTCCGTGTTCGTCCGTGTTCGACCGTGCTCGTCCGTGTTCGACCGTGTTAGTCCGTGCTCGTCCGTGCTCGTCCGTGTTCGTCCGTGCTCGTCCGTGTTCGACCGTGCTCGTCCGTGTTCGACCGTGTTAGTCCGTGTTCGACCGTGTTCGTCCGTGTTCGTTCGTGTTCGTCCGTGTTCGTCCGTGCTCGTTCGTGTTCGTCCGTGCTCGTCCGTGTTCGTCCTTGCTCGTCCGTGCTCGTCCGTGTTCGTCCTTGCTCGTCCGTGCTCGTCCGTGTTCGTCCTTGCTCGTCCGTGCTCGTCCTTGCTCGTCCGTGCTCGTCCGTGTTCGTCCGTGCTCGTCCGTGCTCGTCCGTGCTCGTCCGTGTTCGTCCGTGCTCGTCCGTGCTCGTCCGTGTTCGTCCGTGCTCGTCCGTGTTCGTCCGTGCTCGTCCGTGTTCCCTCTTTTTCGAATAGGGTCGAATTATAACCAGAATTTTGCTTAATTAATTATTTACCAAGTTAGCAAATCTCTCTGCCCCTTTTGCATCCCCCAATTTGTGTTGTTCGTAAAACATTAAAGTTTTGGAAAGCTTTTCAATTTCATTATGTATTATTTCAATTCCGATCTTTGACAATTCTGTTGTAGCTAAATAATAAACATTATGTAAATGTTTTTTCTGTTATGATAGGAATGTAATAGATTAGGACCTCGATTCAAGATTTTTTTAATTCGTCATTATTTCATTGAAAGGAGCTTTTTAACTGATACTATAAATCACGTATAAGCATTACCACACATCAACAAAGGGAAAACTAAAAGGAATTTTATAAATATTTCTTTCCCTTCTCCTTCAAAAATTTAATACAAAGTACGAGAAGTACGAGCCGATTTGCTCGACTCGTTCTTCGTAAACAGGTACGAGTAGGAGTACGAATTTTGGTACGAACTTCCAAACACTGGAAATCTAAAAACAGGTCTCTCTATATCGTCATAAAATATGTTTAAGAGAAACCTGTGTGAAGTAAGATTAAAACTCTAAGAATCAAAAATTCCTCTCTGCTCAAATTAAATTCTGCTATTTTGATTAAATGCTTGTAAAATAGAAGATTAGTAGTTTCGTTATGTTTAATCAATATCGGACTCATTCCAGCAGGAGATATTAATACATCGCTTCCTTGGAGGTTTTTACTGTAAAAGAGCATACTAAAAACAATTGCTGTCAATCCATTTCGAGAGTAAAGATGAATCTGAATTTTTTGTTTATCTTAATAATATGCACAATCAGATCTCAGTTTTTCATACACCCAAATTTAGACACACTTCAATTAAATCGAAATGTCCAGAAGAAGATATGTATACTATACTCCATTTAATTGCACATTATATTAATGAGTCAATTTTATATTTTATATGTAAATAATGCTTGTGTCTGGTTCTAGCAAAACATTTTTATAAATAATTGAAGTCTGAAAAAGCGTCCCTTAACCTAGAGTAAAATCATTTCGCCTTTAAATAATTTTACAATACAAAAAACACCGAAAATCCGACACTTTTTATTTTGCTTAGCCATTAATAAGAAGGATTTTCGTCCCATTGGATTGGAATTTGAAGGATTTTCGGATTTTCGCCCCAAGAATTTTTCGCCCCAAAATTTATACCACTTATAAACCTTATCTTCAAATGAGAGTTGACCAAGTACAGGCATTGTTTTCATCATTTCAATAATTAAAAATGAGTCAATGAAAAACCAACTTGGTAATAATTTTGTACCTTCATTCAATATTTTGATGAAAAAGTCAAGGCTTTTAGGTACTCTCCTCCGTTTCTGATGAATTTTTCATAAAATTTAAAATAATAATTTAATTATTTTACCGAAAACATATCAGATTTTGCCAAAATAGAATTAGATAATCCCTCTCCACCATCAATATTATTTAGAATATCAGACATACTTTTATTATAATAATTTGGGGAAATATCTGTCTCAGAGTAGCGAATATGCAAAAGTTTATCGTCAGAATATAACAAAAATTGTAATAATTCAACTTCAGGTTTACTGTTTCCAGATGAAAATTCTTGCTGCTAAAATAGGTATATTAATAATAATGATAAATGACAAAGTTTAACTTAGTCAAAAATTACTATAGCCGTACCTTAGTTATTGATACATCCTAAATTAGTTGTGTATCTATGTATGAGGGCTCAGAATTCAATATGGAGTCTGGGACCAGACTTCGAGATCCAAAGAAATATTATTTAAAATTTTCCATAAAAAATCGGTGAATAAAGGAAACGAATGAAACCAAAATACATGTCACTAAATACGTATAGGTTTCGAAAATTGAGAACCATATCCCGCGCAAAGCGTCACATCGACTCCAACATGGTAACTTAGTTTATTTTTGTACCATAACCTTATCCCAAATTGAAATCAAAATTTAGGATCAGCTCTGATCCTAACAATGGATTATTATTGTAAGGATGGATTATTATTGGATTATTAATGGATATATAAGGATGGATTATTAATGGATTATTATTGTAAGCAATAATAATCCATTACCACTGTTAAATCATATTGACCAAAATCTGGATAATTTTGAGACTTTGCAGCTTTTTCGAAAAGTTGACGTTTTTTCTCAGTTATCATTGAAGAAATTTTATTAATATCAACTCCATTTGGAAATTTTTGTATAGTCCGAAAGTTCATTCCACCAAGAAGACAACGGTCAAAACGGCAGGAACGGCAAAATATCCCTTAAAAAAGAATTTTCATTCCACACAAATATTATCCTATCTCCTTTTATTTAAAATTTATCTCAACATTCTGAAAGAACATTATCGTACCCTCTTCAATTCTGCAATTTCCTTGATTTTTGCAAACATACAAGTGTTGATCTAGTATAGATCGACGAAAGAATGAAAAACAACCTTTAATGTGAAATTAATTAAGTTTTAGAATGTTTAGAACCTGAACAACTTGGAACATCAAAATGACAAAATTTGGCTGGTTTGGCACAGACAACACAATTTTTCGGTCTTTTCACAAGCTGAAACATTTTATAACTTAAAATAATTAGTATGATTTCTTAAATATTTCTCGGAAAAAGATGCATATACACGGGATCCCCTCTTGTACCAGAAATACAAGATCTCCACTCAATGTCTTACTCTGGACATTTTATCAAATACAAGGATTAACATAATTTTTAATAATTTTAATAAATAAATAATATACAAATTCAGAATCATTATCTCGATTAGTTTCCAAATTTAAATGATTGTTGTCCGATGTCTTGTTATTATAATAACATAAAAGGGATTGTTTATCAATTTGTGTTTCCAAATCTTCCAAACTAACACGATCATTATCAGATGAAGGATAACTAAATCCACTATCATAATTAAATGTATAGGGTGTTGAAATATTATAGTTATCATCAAATTCAGAATTTTGAATTGAATAATAATAAGACATTTTGTCAAACCTGTAATTATTTAAGTTTAGTAACCCTATAATACCATTGAGAAAGAGGATTTACTCTTGTTGACAAAGGATCTTTACTAACAAATTACAGCCAACTCCTTTTGGGTACTATCCAGAATGCAATAGAATTTCTCTTAGAGAATTTAAGAGAGATTCTCCCATCGGAACTGAACTTAACTGACATATGATGGAGAGTAATACGGGGGCCATATTAGAGAGATTCGACTAAAAATATGTTTTTTTACTGCTAAATTTAATAATTTCTATGGTAACAGAAATTTAATAAAATTAATAAATTTTAAGGGAAAAAATTAGAAACCAAATTAATAAAGCTTTTTTCCTCAAATTATATTAAATAAATCATTTATTTAATAAAAAGCTTGTTTAAACAGCTATTTTCTCTAAAATTTATGTATGAGTGGAATGAAAAATTGAAAATTTTGTCAATAATTTGGTAATGGATAGATGTAATAAGGCACCCTCAAAAAGCCAAAATGTAAAAGATATATATCGTATGGCTACATAAAAGATAATTAGAGGGAGATGAAAACGTGGAATTGTTTATTTTAGGTTTTAATAAAAGTTAGAAAGCAAAAAATTTTCAAACTACAAAAAATAAAATTTAGAAAAAAAAGAAAAATTTATTTTTGAATAAAAAATGTATACCTAATTTAATTTGATTAATCCTTCCAATCAACAAAATTTGCAGACAGAGGTTGATTGGAAGATTCCCGCTTTATTTTCTAGAATTTCAGATTCTTTTTTCAGACGGTATGAGTAAATTGAAAAAAGTTTGTGTATTTTTGTAGCGTATTATAATTGGAAAATCTTTTTCCACTATGTACTTATAACGTTTCTCGATGAAAGCCTTTATGAAAATAAATGGTGGACAAAATGAAAAAGGAAATGGACTCAAACAACTATGTATATACATAACAACCTTGCTTATTTTGCCAATTCCCTACAAAATAATTTACTATTTTTACATTTAATGTAAAATTCTATAAGATTTTAAATTAAGTAAAAATTCTAAGAAAAACATGCAAAATAAGAGCAATAACAATATTTGTTACCAAAGTAATAATTAAAAATTTAAAAAAGCAGGGAAAAAGTATCAGGAAGAAGTACCACTGGGAAGATGTGAGGATAACCTAATTATAAGATTCCAGGTTATCTATAGCGAGGACCGACTTTAAATAATTATTAGATTTTAAAAAAGGAACAGTGATAATCCTATAGTTTACAGCAAAAATTTTTCTTCAAATCCAGACAGCGGTAAATGTCCAGCTCACTGTCTACATCTCCGCAAAAGGAAATTATGTAAAAGTACTTATATTATGTCTTGTCATTTACTTGCATATCTCCCTTAATTCTTACAAATTCCTTAGTATTCCCAATTAAGTGGTTAAGAAGGGTAACGGGGTCGTGAGAATTCATTCCAAAAATAGGAATGTTGACTAAAAGCATTCATTTTTGAGCAAATAGCACAAATTACAAGACTAATTGTGGGGGAATTTTAGCTAATTGACTGAGATTATTCCTCATTGGGTTATTATTCCTCTCTATTTGATAAATAGTAGGATGAGGAATTATTCGAGAATGGGAAATTAATCGAGAATGGGAAATTAATTGAGAAAACTGTGCCAGTGTCGTGCCACCATAAATAATTATACATATACTATTATATAAAAATTTATGATACAAAAATGTAAAAATTTTAAATGCAAGAAAAATTAATTAAAGTTATTTAAAGTTAATTAAAACTTTAATTTAATTAAAAAAAATTAATTAAACTTTATTTATTATAATAATAAATATTAATTTTTAGCACAATTTGTGTACGTATTTAAATTTCATTCTTCACAATTCTCAAATATTAATTTATTCATAAATTTAGGAAAATTATTTGGACGACTTCTAGCATGATTTTTATGTATTTTGCCAATGTTCAATATCGGTCTTATGTTTATCATCTGAATAGATAAAGAGCAAATTAAGGGAAAATTAAAAAATTAAAAATCCTTTACCTGGGGAATTAATTTTTCAACTTTAAGGAGGGAACTAATCGAGAAAATGCGAAACCTCCAAAATTAGATACCAAATTATGATGTTTTTTAATTTGGTTGGATAATTTGTGGCTGGAACTGCCTTCCACAATAAAAATGTTCGAAAAGCTTGATAAAATAAGGATTCTATCATATCAGAGAATTTATAACTAGAATTTTGCTTAATTATTTACCAAGTTAGCAAATCTCTCTGCACCTTTCGCATCACCCCATTTGTGCTGTTCGTAAAACAACAAAGTTTTTGAAAGCTTTTCAAGTTCAGCATGTATTATTCCAAATCCGATTTTTGACAATTCTGTTGTAGCTAAATAATAAACATTAAATATTTAATATTTTTTGTTATGATAGGGACTAATATTAATTTGTGATTAAGTTATTTTTTTACTAAATATAGAAGAACCCTAGAGGTAACAAGACATCATGCCATGTTTAAAAAATATGCAATTGTATAAAAATTCGGTTCATAATTTAAGCATCGGGGGATATCTAAAAAAGGTCTCTATATATTATCACAACATACACATATTTTTAAGAAAAACCTGTGTGAAGTAAGATTAAAACTCTAAGAATCAAAAATTCCTTTCTGCTCAAATTAAATTCTGTTATTCTGATTAAATGCTTGTAAAATAGCAGATTAGCAGTTTCGTCATGTTCAATTAATATAGGACTCATTCCAGCAGGAGATATTAATACATCGCTTCCTTGGAGGTTTTTACTGTAAAAGAGCATACTAAAAACAATTGCTGTCAATCCATTTCGAGAGTAAAGATGAATCTGAATTTTTTTGTTTTACTTCTAGTAATATACAATCAGATCTTAGTTTTACATACTCCAAAATTAATACACAAAGTTTACTATAAATTTTTTTTAAATTCAGTCTGAGTTGCCTAGGACGCATCATAGGAAGCATCCCATCACATTATACGATTTTTAGCCCCATGTATGTATAAAAAACTGAGATCCTTTCTGTAGTACATATTTTCCTTTGATAAACCTTATCTTCAAATGAGAGTTGACCAAGTACTGGCATTGTTTTTGTCATTTCAATAATTAAAAATGAGTCGATTGTTACCCATCTTGGTTTTATTTCTACACCTTCCCTCAATTGTTGCATGAAAAAGTCAAGGCTTTTAGGTACTCTCCTCCGTTTCTGATAAATTTTATATAAAATTTAAAATAATAAATTGCTTATTTTACCGAAAACATATCAGATTTTGCCAAAATAGAATCTGATAAGCTTCCACCATCAATATTATTTAGAATATCAGACATACTTTTATTATAATAATTTGGGGAAATATCTGTCTCAGAGTAGCGAATGTGTAAGAGTTTATCGTCAGAATATAACAAAAATTGTAATAATTCAACTTCAGGTTTATTGTTTCCAGATGAAAATTCTTGCTGCTAAAATAATGAATAAAATGCCTTAAAAAATTATTACGTGAAGTGTTCTTCTGGGAAACAGGAATGACATGCGATATACATATATCTTAATTTTTGTTTTGGACAGACCCCAAAAAATCTTCGAAAATAATAAATCGAAGAATTCTAAAGAATATCAAGACAAAAATATTTTTCGGATCAGCTTTGGATTTTACTTGCTAAAGATTAAAGAATTCAGATAATCTATTACTATTGTCACATCATATTGACCAAAATTTGGATATCTTTGAGACTTTGCAGCTTTTTCAAAAAGTTGGTGTTTTTTCTCATTTAACATTGCAGAAATTTTGTTAATATCAATTCCATTTGGAAATTTTTGCATAGTTCGAAAGTTCATTCCACCAAGAAGACAACGGTCAAAACGGCAGGAACGGCAGAATATCCCTTCAAAGAATTCCTTTTAATTTAAAATTTATTTAGTACCCTCTTCAATTCTACAATTTCCCAGATTTTTGCAAACATACAAGTGTTGATCTAGTATAGATCGACGAAAGAATGAAAAACAACCTTTAAACTGAATTGACTGAATTTTAGAATATTTAGAACCTGAACAACTTGGAACATCAAAATGACAAAATTTGGCTGATTTACCACAAAACAACGCAATTCATTGGCATTTTCATAAGCTAAAATTTTATATTTTAGTTTGTATTTTTAAGGATCAACATATATAGTTATCATCAATACGGCTATCCCTTAATGTACTCGAAATGCTAGGCTATCGCTAAATGCCCTTCCCTTTATCTTTCTTATGACATCCTTTGTGTAATGAACGGATTAACATAGAATGTCAACTATTTAATAATTAATATACAGAATTCGGGTTATTTTTTCGTTTGTATTGCAAATTTAAATTGTTGTTGTTCACAGTTTTATTATCACTGCTAGAAAAACATATTAGGGATTCTTTATCAATTTGTGTTTCCAAATCTTCCAAACTAACACGATCATTATCAGATGAAGGATAACTAAATCCACTATCACAATTAAATGTATAGGGTGTTGAAATATTATAGTTATCATCAAATTCCGAATTTTGAATTGAATAATAATAAGACATTTTGTTAAACCTTTTATAAATTATTTAAGTTTATTAACCCTATAATACCATTGAAGATGAGGCTTTGCTCTTTATAACTAGAAATCTTTATTTTATTTCTTTATTCTTGAAATACTAAGTATAATTCCAGAGAGGCCTAAACTGTAATTTGTTTCTAATTAAAACTAAATTTAAAAATTTCTATGGCAACCAAAATCTATGTAATTAAATTATTGAAACTTAGAGAATGATGAGAAATTGACTAAAAAAGCTTTTTTTATTAATGAAAATTGCGTATATTAAATAAAACATCCTTTCAATGAAATAAATGAAAAGCTTGTTTGAACAGCTTAAAACAATCATTAATTAAAATTTTCGCTAAAATATATGAGTGGAATACTAAAATATTTTATGTAATTATGTATTAAATATTAATAATTATTAAAATAAAATAAACAGGCTTTTCATTGGGAAATTGAAAAATTATTAAGCTGTGTTGGGCTTTTATGCTTTGTAGCAGCGTTGCTTCGTAATCAAAAAATTTTTTTTTCGTAAACGTACTTCGTAACTTAAGAAAATTTCGTAATCGTAATGCGTAATTGCGACGCAACACTGCTTTGTAAGCTTTGGAGCTAACTTACGGAGACATACCAAAAACACGATAACAAATAATGTATTTCCACATTTAATGTATTAAATTCTATAAAACTTTGAGTCAATCAGACGTTTTAATAAAAATGCCACGTCCTTCATCATATCGTCGTCATAATGGGATTTATGGCTCGACTCATTAAAAAGAGATAAAAATTTAAACTTTTTTTTTTAAATTTAGCTCTCTGTAGAAAGCTAAATTTAAAAAATTTATCTATTATTATCATTCTAGTTAGAGTCGCAAACGTGACAAATGTTCGTTCTTAATATGCATATACATATTAAGGGATTAAACTCTTCAAAGTTCACAAAAAACTAAGAGATATCTTGTTGAGTGTAGATTTCAACGATTTATTTATTTTTGTGTTAATCCTAAATTTCTTATGTAAATTCTAATTTTTATTAATTTAATTATTAAGAAAGTATGTAAATAGAGAGCAAAATTTAAAAAATTGTAGATACCGTATTTCCTAAAATAGTACTCCTCCCTGAATTAGTACTCCCCCCTTAAATAATACTCCCCTTTGGAGGAGGGTTGAAAAATAGTACTCCCCCCTGAATTAGTACTCCCCCTAAAATAATACTCCCCCCTAAAATAGTACTCCCCTATATTTTTAAAAATTGTAAAAGAGAATAAAATTTATTCTTTGAATTATTTATTCTATTTGTTTGTTGTTACTTTATTTTTGTACCGTTTAATTTATTTTTTATTTCCATTTTGTTTATTTTAGTTTTGTTTATTTTAGTTTTGTTTATTTTAATAGTATTAAAATGGCTGAAAAGAATATTTTAATGTGTTGTTCTTGCAATAAACCCACTTCTGGTGGACACAGTTGTAAGATCTGCGAAAAACCTTGTCACGCTATAGAATTATGCTCAGTTTCTTGTGGTGAAGAAGGTTACGGAGCAAATGTTATATGTTCAGACTGTTTCATCAACGTTGATGACATTGAAGATAGTGAAGAAGGAAATAACGAAGTTGATGTGAAAGAACAAGTGAAAAAGGCAAAAAAACGAGCTTATACAATAACTGAAAAAATTGATATTTTGGATTTTGCTCGTAATACATCTATTCATGAAGCTAGTAGGCATTTCAAGATTGATAGAGTTACAATAAGAAATTGGAAAAAGCAAGAATCTTCTTTGAAAAGCATGTATGTGAGGGGTTGGGGGACGGATTTTAAACTATACCCACTTAATTTTAGGAAAAACCCATCAACCAGGAAAAGATCGATTGGAGGTGGTAGAAAATTAGCAGATTCAGATTTTGACAATGCCTTAAAAAGTTGGATTAACGAACTTAGATCTAAAAAATTAAGAGTGACCAGAAACATGATCGTTTTAGAGGCACAAAAAATCAGTATTAGTTATCCAGGACTTGAAAATTTTAAGGTAATAATAAATTCTTTTTTCAAATTTACTGAATTATTTAGGCTAGTAATGGTTGGCTCGATTACTTTTTAAAGCGACACAATTTTTCAATGAGAAGACCTACATCGGTTGCTCAAAAGACACCAGAAGAGTTTGCAGAAATTATTGTAAATTTTATTTTGTATGTTCAAAAGCTTTGGAAAAAAAACAAGTTAGTTTCCTATTAATTTATGAAATTTATTCACACATATTTAGTTTCACACACGTTTATGCTGCCGACGAAACTTCAATTTCATTAGACCCGGTTGGTGGATTATGTGTTGCAGAAAAAGGTTCGAAGACCGTTACTGTAAAAAGCACTGGGCACGAAAAAACCCATGTTACAGTCATGCTGACAGCTAGATCAGATGGCTTCAAACTTCCTCCTTTCGTTCTTCTTCCCCGTAAAAGGCCTATACCAGAAATTGAAAAACTTTTTAAAAATAAATTGAAACTTGTTTGGTGCGGAAAAAATTGGATGGACAATGAACTGATATCAAAATACCTGGAGGAGGTTTTATATATATATATATATAAATATATTTTCATTTGTAATTTTTAAGGTTTTTGGAAATTTTTTATTTGGAAGTCGACTCTTGATTTGGGATAGTTTCCGGGCGCATATTAGTGGAGAAACCAAACAAACATTAAAGCGAGCCTGGGATTCACTTTCCAGTTCAGCCTGGGATTCACTTTCCAAAGATTTAATAATAAAATCATTTGTTTCATGTGGAATGACAACTGATGAAAATGGTAAACTAGACGAACACATTCATGTTTTTAAGGTTAGCATTTTATAATATTTAATTCCAACTTTTAAAAATTATAGCCGGAGGGAGCTATTAGCAATGGAATCACTTTGTTACGACAACGCCGAAACGAAAATGCAATTGAAAATTTAAATTTAATAGAAGAAATTGATGTTGAAGAAGATAAAATATATGAGAGCGATTTTTCAATAGAATTAAATATTGATTTAAACATTTAGAAATTTTAAATAAATTTGCCAATGATAAACTTAGAGGAAGGTTGAAAAATAGTACTCCCCCCTGAATTAGTACTCCCCCCTTAAATAATACTCCCCTTTGGAGGAAGGTTGAAAAATAGTACTCCCGGGAGTACTATTTTAGGAAATACGGTATATGTAAATTTAAAATAAAAATTATATATCAATATATTGTATAAAAAATACGTCATTCTTTATGAATAAAATTCCATTGTTACATAGCTTTGCTATATACTCTTCCTGGAAAATTAAAATAAAATGGAATAATATTCTCTAGTTGATATACCATATGTTTTTAATGACTGAGAAGAAGTCTGTTGTCGAGAAATGGCATTCGGAACAACAAAAACAGCATTAGCAGGTTGCTGTCCAGTTGCGTGTACTGTTGATAATCGAAAAATGGCTTTTATTTTGACCCATTGTTTATTTAAAGCTGTTCGGTGTTCTTTGCTAAAATTAAATTTTTATTTGTACTGCAGACACTGTCTCTCTTATTTTAACGTGAAGTGTTAATACTATTTCGCTTTTGTCTAACTAAAACAAAAAACTAAAAATTTACCTAAAAGTGTATAAAACGGGCAAATTAAGAGCAATAGCAATATAAGCAATATTTGTTGCCAAATTAATAATTAAAAAATTTAAAAAAGTTCCAGATACAATTCCAAATAAAGGTCCAATAAATACTCGCAAACCAACACTAAATGTCCAACCAAAAAGTTCAAGAAGTAAAAGAACAAAAAGACATTTTAAAAGATGAGCTATAAAATATTTGTAAGAATAATGAGGAGAAAAAATTCAGTTTCATTTTCAAATTCAAAAATTCACGATGAGAAAAAATTCAGCCATTGGGTCTGGGAGAGATTGATAATTTAGGATAACCTAATTATAAGATTCCATGGTTATATTATAGTGAGTCCGACTTTAAATATTTGTTAAACTTCAAAAACACAAACTCTGATAATCAGTATAGTTCCCAACAGCGAATTTTATTCGAATCCAGACAGCTAAATAAGCACAAATTGAACCAAAATTCATTCCAAGAATAAGATAGTTGACTAAAGAAGCATCAATTTTAGGGCCAATAGCACAAATTACAAGACTTTAATGATTATTTAATTTATTAATTTTTAAATTGATATCAGCTACTAATTTATTTTTATATTTGAAAGAGAGGTTGTGGGGGAAATTATAGTTAAAGGACATGGACGTGGCCGAATGAGGCCAGGAAGCCAGGAGATATAAATTTATATCGCAATTTGGGAGGGATCTGGAATAAGAGACAAATCTAGATTGTCTCAAAAGGTTGAAAAAATTCATTAGGAGTTCTATTCAGTGGAACAGGAAGAAGAATTTTCTACTTCCTTTTTCATCTGCCACTTCACTCTTTAAGTCTGAAAGTATGACTTGAATCCAGGAAATATAAATTCTCTTTCATACCCTCTAAAATTAAAAAATATCCCTCACATATTAGGATTTCCAAAAGAAGTAATTATATCAACAGAAGTAACATAACTTCCAAGAACAAAACAACAAAATAAAATAATAATCAAAAAATTATTTCCATTCCGTTTTTTATACCAAATTGGAAAGAAAATCGCCAAAAAACGTTCAATTGCAATAAAAAAAGTTAAGGGAAAGGAAAAGAATGAGAAAAATATTGGAAGTAATTGGATTAAAACACAAGTTTTGTATGAAATAAAATTATTTCCAGTAATTACAGTTGCGAAAGTAACGAAAAAATTAAGTTGTTGGAAGATTGAACCGATTGAATAACAGGCGATTAATTTATTACAGAGAGAATTCATTGATCTGAAAAAGATAAATTTTTTTAAATTAAGAGAGATTTTTTAATTAATTTACAATTTAAATTGAATGACTGAACAATAGACTGAACAATCAAATACCGTATTGCTTCTAATAGTACGACTGTCTCTAATAGATTGACCCCTTCTAATAAACCGACCATCTAGAGGTTGGTTGAAAAATAAACCGACCGGTTGCACTATTAGAAGAAATACTCAAGTAACTTTTTCTCTTTTACCCTTCCCCAGAGAGAGAATGAAACACTATTCGATGTATAAAGTTAGCTCCAGTTGGTCATAGTTAGGTTTGGTGGTTACTGAGAAATCCCCGAATATTCGCCCGGACCCAATATTCAAACAGAAAATTGTGGATGCCAAGACTTAGTCATAATCCACATAGCCGGGTATTTTAATTATAATGGTTTTTTAAAAGATGAATTTTTCAAAATTATTACTAAAATATTTAAAATGCTTCCTTATATGTATATTGAAATTTTTAAAAATCAAAATTTAAGAATAAGATAATAATTTTTTTACTTATTTCGTAAAATAACATAAGCAAGAGTTCCATTCAACGTAGAACCAACAATTGCAATTATAACTTTAATACCAAAAAGGGTTATGAGCCAAGCAGAGGGACCAGTTCCATAAAACATTTGATTCATTTCATTCTAATTAATTTAAATTTATTAAATTATTTAATGTTTTTAAAAATTATTTTGTATATTTTTACTTTCAAAATAAACAATAGAAAAGGATGTTTATTTTGAACTATTTTTAGGTTAATAGCTCAACAGATAGCAATATTTTAGATCGCCCTTTAAGGGCAGTCTCTATTTTTAGAATTGATTTATGGTAAAATTTTAATCCTAGCTGCCGTTGCCCTCACAAATTAAGTAAAATTACTAGGTATTAAGCTTGCTCCTTTAAAAACTACTAAACTTTTCTTCTCGCCTATTTTAGAGCAATTTCTTGTGAATCTTAAATAATTTTAAAGATCATATTATTCTACTAATTTTCAGCCCTCTTAGAAACATAATCAAAATAAAATATTGTTTTTATTTTAAAAATTAAAAAAACACCAGAAAAATAAAATTTGACAATTTAATTTATTTTAAAACCTTCGCCGTAGAAGAAGAATTTGATGATGAAGACATTATTTATTATGAATTTTATATTAATTTTAAACAAAAATAATTATTTTAATTAATTTATTTGGATTTATATATATTCTAAAATTTGTATTTATTTATTAAAAAATTCAAATCTAAAAATAAACAGAATAATGACCAAAAAAAGTATTTATGTAATAAAATACAAAGCATAAATTTTAAAAATAAAGATCGTTTATGTATCCAATTAATTTAAAATTAAATTTATATTTAAAAAATTCTAATTAAAAAATTTTTCTTATTCTTAAAAAATGTTTGTTCAAAAATCTGGTTCAGATTTCTTCCCTTTTTAGCGCCGCTGGCGAAAATTTTGAGAATTCTGAAGAGCCAATAAGCTAGATTTCTCCGATTTTTGTCCAAAAATCTGGTAAAAATATCATCTTGTTCGAGTCAGGCCAGATTTTTCCGAGGCATTTTTCAGGTTTGTTTTTATCAAGTCGGGCCGTAAGAGTCTTTTTTGGGCCAAATTTCATAGGTAGTATTAAACACATTTGGATATTTTTTTAAAAATGATCAACAACTTTAAATAAAAAAATTTTCTTTTTAAATTTTTATACGTTTGTTCTGATTTTATAAAATAAATAATAATTATTTTAAAAATTTTCCTTTGTTTTATAAAAATATTTTTTACTTCCTTAAAAGTTGAAATAACGAACATTGGAACTTGAGGGGGTTGAAAATACAAAATAAGGTGACACGAACCAAGAAAAAGTGGTAACAATTTTAAATTGTATTCTTTTGTCAGAAAATATTAAGAAAATGAAAAAGTTAAATTTCGTTTGGTTTAAATATAAAATTAGAAATTTTTTATTAATTATAAACTATAAAAATTAATTTTTTGTATTTTTAAAGAAAAATGACTTTAATTTTTTTTATTAATTCCGGCAATTCTTTGAATAATAAAATATAAATTGTTTCTTTAATTTAAAAGAAATTAGTATCGTGAGATTGTTGAATACAAATTTAAATAACGAGAAAATTTTTTTAAAAAAGTCTAAATTTGGGAATTTTTTATTTAAAATTGTTTAAAAAAATGAACTTAATACGTGATATTCAATTTAAAAAAATATTAAAGAATAATGTAGGAATTAAATTTTTAAAATTTGGACTTCAAATTTTTTTCTTCATTTTATTGAAATTTGTAGTAAGCAACTGAACGAAATTTCTTTTAAAATAATTGATAGTGAATTTAATAGCTAGAGGAGTTAAGTCCGCCCATTTATCAACAAAACAGGCTCCATTAACTCAGCTCCATAAGCTGTAGTGACATATGTATAATTGACCAAAGTTCGGCATGGCGGTTGATTTAAACACGAGTATAAGTCCCAAAATTTGTTCCCCCCATCTTTCTTACATTCTTCATGTAAATATTATGCCATCAATATGAAAATCTAACTTTTGGTTTGTAAATAGTGGAAATTTTTAAATTATCTCGCTAATGACTTAAAATATTAATTCAGAATCATACTGAGATAGTTAAGCCTACTTCTATTTGAGCAAGTGTCTTTAGAGGTGTCGAGGTTTTAAATTATATAAGTAAAATGGAGGTTTATGAACTTTTTTCACCAAAGAGAATAAAGTATTTTCAAAGATATGTAGATAGCCGAATTGTAGATTAATCAAAAGAATTAATCTTTATAAACTCAACACAAAAATAATTTTAAAAATTTTATGCGACTACAAATTTGCATAAAATAACTACAGATTGTGAATATGTATATAATCTATATATCCATGTATGGACAAGTATAATTTCGCGAAAGCCGGGGAGTTTATCTAAAATATTTTGTCCAGACATGGATATATATTTTAAAAAATGTCGTGAATAGTGCCGTGTAAGCTTCAAATATTTTTTTCAATCCTGAATGGATTTTTTGAAAAAGTATTTCAATGAAGCAAAATTTTTCTATTTTACTCGGCACTTTCTGTGAACATAACAAAAATTTTCACGTTATAATTGAATTGAATAATCTCTATCTCAAATTTTAATAACTAAAATATATTTAAAATGTTTTTTGTTTTCAAATTCAATTCAATTATATTTTACAAATTTCTTTCGAATACAATTTTAAAAAAACTAGGTATTTTACGCATAGATAATATATAGTTCAGAACTGCTTTAAAGGGATTCTTAAACAAATACCCACTTATTTGGGCGGAAAGGATTATAAAATTTCGTTTTAGATTTTTATAAAGATCGGTTAAAATTTGCAAAAAATACTTGCAAAATTTTCGGATTCAAAGCCGGTTCTGAAATACTGAAACAAATATAATTTGAATTAAATAAATGTGAATGAAAAATACATTCTCAATTTGTTAATAATAAACAAAGGTTGTCGTATTTTTGGATTAAAAGATTCTCTTTAAATTCAAAAAAAATTAACCTTACAAAAAAGGTAATATTTAAATGAGCTATTCAGACTATAAAAAATTGTTTTAGTAACGTCAACCTTTACCAATAAATGAGGAATTTAAAAATAAATAAAATTAAAAATAATACCAAATAAATAAATTTAAAAGGGATGGTTATGGTTAAAGAGTTCAGCATCCGTATGTAAATATACGGCTGACTTTTTTCTTACAATTTCTCAAACTTTACCTTTAAAAAAATTTTTTTTCCAACTACCACTAGTAATATGTACATTTTTTTATACTCTTTTTTCTTTTCTCAATATCACAACACTTGAATTTCTCCTTCGGATTTTGTATCATCTCCCTTGACTTCATCAGAAGTTGTTTTCTTAATAGCATCTTCAATTTCTTCGGATTTACTAACATCTCCAGATTCATCAAAAGATACTTCCTTAAAAGAATCTTTCTTTTCTTCTTTTTTGTTTTGATAACCATTAGTAACAACATTCATTTCCTCAAAACGTTCAAAACGTAAATTTTCTGTATCAATAGAACAAAAAGAATGCCAATATTGTAATTCATGTTCCAAAAATAATTTACATTTATTTTTAAAATTTTCTTCAAAATTTTCCTCACACACATTTTTTAATTCTTTTTTAATTTCTTTTTGTATATTCTCGTAATGTCTAAAAAAATAATAAAAGTTTAAATTAATAAACGATAATATTTAGTATTAAAAATAAAATTAGTTAAATATATAAAGTGAAATTTACTAATACGGAAGTGACGTGTAATTGTGGCGACTTATAAGAAGGATTCCACTATATACTATTTAATAAAATTTAATTAATTAAATTACCCAATATCAATACGTCTTTGCCCCAAAACTTCATTCAATTCCCATCCATATTCCTGCCCAACACCATTACTCAAAAAATCAGAAAATTTCACAGTTCCATCTTTATTGAAAGAATTTTCAATTCTTTTAGTTAAACAATATTTAACAAAAAGGGGACCAGAATTTTCAAATTTCTTTTTAATTTTCTCACTTTCAGGCAATATTTGTTTATAAAAAATATTTTTTTCTTCATCATTTTCAACTTTAGTGAAGAAAAACAATTTTTTCCAATTTTTCACCAAAAATTCATATTTATTTTTTAATCGTCCATCAAATTCATTAATATTTTCTCCATTCACTAAATTATCCATTTTTTCAATAATTTCAACTCGACGTCCCTTTTCTTCAGATTTTTTCTCAATACTTTTCAATTCTTCAAAATACTCCATTAACTGATTTTTATTTTCAATTTGGCCAATAATTTTTTTGAATTCTTTAAATAATTTGTTTAAATTATTTTCTAAATTTTTTAATTCTTTAGCAGTCACAACATTCTTCTCTTTAACAAATAATTCTCTAATTTTTTTATATAATTTCTCAATTTTTTTGCCCTCTTTTACGCATTCATTCTTCAATTTTTCAGAAATTATCTTTTTAGTTTCCACGTTTAAATTATTTTTTACAAATATTTTTAGTTGTATAACATAATTTAAACATTTTTGCCATTCTGTTTTTAATTTAATATTTCCTTCAAATTGTTGGAAGAATTGAGAATTGACACTCTTTAAATTAGTTAATTGTTTATTTAAAACATTTAAAGCTTTCTCGTCTTCTTCATTTTGAATTTCTTCCATAACTTCCTCATATTCATTTTCTTTTTGAATTTTGAAGATTTTTTGTATCTAAATTTGTTTGGAATAAATAATTTTTAAGAACTTTACTGAGTAAAGAATCTTCTAAATATTATGGTCGGACCCTTCTTCTCATGCTATACCTCTTTTTATACGACTTTCTTAATTTGGCCAGAAATCTTTTTTCAGGTTCCAGAAGGATAAATGATGTCCCCTGTCCGAATATATTTGAAATTTTTAGACAAAGACTAAAGTTAGGAAATTTTGTGGATTTTTTTCCGAAAATTAAAAACCTTTAATATTTCGAATTTAATTTTTTTGTATGTTTCTTCTTGTTTTTGGGATGTAGACGTTTCTGTTATTTCAGAAGTTGTTTTTGTTGTAGAGTTGGATAAACCAAGCATTTTATGAGCTTCTAAGAAAGTGACTTTGTGAAGATGGAAATTGTTTACTAAAAAATAAATTAAAAAAAAATATTTAAATTAAATTTACATATTTCTTTAAATATTTCCTCCTTCTGTTTTGTTGTTAAATAACTTTCTTTACCATTAATTGCTAATAATAGGGCATCATTATCTTCTCCCGTTTTTTTGCCACCATTATCTTCTCCCAAAAATGCCAAACGAAAACCATCCTCTTGTAAACCAATTTCATTTTCTTTAATTTAATTCAAAATTAATTAAATTATTTAAAAATTATTTACTATATTGAAGTGCCCATTCCTCGGGTCTTTCAAATTCAACATTTTGTTTGTCAATGTAACAATAATTACTCCAATTCTCTTTTAATTTTTTTAATTCAACATTACTATTCTCTCCAATCATATTGAGAATTTGTTGATAATACCTTTAAAAATATTTATAAATTTATTTTCATATACAGTTGAATCTCGTTATATGCTCACTATTAGGCTTTTTTTATGTCATTAAGTTATTCCGAAACTATGGGTCATTTAAAAGAAAAAAACCAGAACCAAATTCGAAATATTTAATAATAGTTAATAAATATACAAGTATACTTTCGGAATCTCGATATCGCTGAACAATGAGTTAAATAATTTACATATTTAAGATTATAACTAAGGAAGGCCCAGTCCTGGCTTATTCAATCTCGAAAACCAGTTATTATATATAAATCCGGGTTTTCATTTTATTTTGAAAGTAGAATCCATTCCAAATTAATGGGACCCATTGAAAAATATAAGTGAGAGGACATTAACTGTATATATTTATTTACATTTTATCAACTCTTTTCTTTCCCAATTTTTCATTCATTTCCATTCCATATTCTATCAAATTTGTGTTTGAAATATTTTGTAATAAAATATCCATATTAACAACTCCATCTTCATTAAATATTTCCAAAAATTTATTTGTTAAACAATAAATAATTGCTGATAAACTTGAAGTATTTATTTGTCCATTACTTTGTGAAGTCTAAAATTAAATAAAAAAATTAAATTAAATTAAATATTTATTTTTCATTTTTTGAATAAAATTATTCAAAATTTTAAATTAAACAAACCGAATGTTTGTCTGTTAATTTCTCATAATTTCTAACTAAAAAGACCAATTTCTCCTTTAATCTGCCAATATATTCTTTTGTTTCCGTCTCTAATTTTCCTTCCAAATCTTCATTCTTTTTAATTTCATTTTCTCTTTTCTCAAATTTTTTAATTTTTTCATTCAATTTATTTTCAAATTTGTTAATTTCAATAATTAAATTATTTTTAACTTCATTTAAATTTGTATTATCATCAACAAGTTTATTCAATTCTTTAAATTCTTTATTTTCTTTAATTTCTTCTCCACATTTATTTTTAAAATTTTCCAAATATTTTTTCATGTTTTCAGACAATTTTTTCTTGCTATCATTCTTTCGGGTTTTCGATAAAATTCGAGTTTTTGACAAGAATCGAGTAAATGATTTTAAACGATTTCCTTCTTCGCCTCGATTTTCATTCAAAACAAATTTCAATACATAAACAGACAATCCACAGGCTTTTAATTTTTCTTTTAATTCGATTGAAGTTTCAACACGAGAAAATTCTTTTTCGACAATTAATTCTTGTTGCCCATTTTTATTTGTTTTTAACTTAAAAAATAAATTTAATTAGTAAAAATATATTTTACACAAACTTTTCCAATTTCTTCTTTCAATTGCCAATAAATATTTTTTTGAATTTCTTTTTGGATTATTGATGTTACATCACTTGCTGCTATATGATCACTCAAATTTTTATGAAAAGAGGCAATTATTATATGTGCCTCAGTAAATGTTAATTTATGTAAATTGAAACGTTCCACTTAATTTAAAATATTAAAAATAAAAATATAATTTATTTCTTACAAGCTCCATTTTTGAAGTTTGCCCATTCGTTGCTTCCTTTGTTCAAATGATTAAAGTCATCAGGATCAATATCAGCGAACTTCAGATCAGCAAGATTGAAATTGTCATTGAGTATTGTATTGACTGTGTGAAATAATAAATTAAAAAATTAATGTTTATTTTTCCTCGAAACGTTAGAAAACGAGGATAACAAATATAAAGTATTTAATGATAATTAAGTAATTTAGCCGTTATATGCCCGCAAATGTATATGTCTCCTCTTTCAATCCCCAGGTATAGGGACTGAGGGTATATGTCTGAGAGATATGTATAAATATCTCAGACCTATATCTCAGTCCCCAGGCATTTACGATCATAATGAGTGGTACCATTCGACTTATGTTAGAAAGATGAGACGAACCGAAAAATATGTAAATCGAAAGACTGGAATCTATAACATTTTATCATATTACCTGTTTGTAGTTTCCATTCATCTGCTTTTTCAAATTGAACATTATCTCTGTCAATAGCACATATATTCCCCCAATAATCCTTCAAAATTAAATCTATCATTTTACCCAACTTTTCTGTCTCAGTGGAGGTTCCTGCCTCCATTTGATTTTCTGTTAATTTTTCAATATTTTCTTTAAATTTATTTTCAAGTTTTTTGTAATATTCCAAGTCTACTCTTCTTGGACCCAATATTCCATTAATTTCTGTCGCATATTTCAAAAGATATGAATTGTTATTTTTATAAAACTTTGTTTTTGCCTGTCCTTCATCGTTAAAAACAAATTGGAAGCGTTTTGCCAAACAATAACCAATAAATGAATGGCCATTTTCTTTTAAAGTTTCTTTGACATTTGTCGGAATATCTTTGTTTTTTTCAATCATTTCTTCCCAATTGTTTTTAAGAAATTCGAATTTTCCGATCATACGTTTTTTGTAAGCCACATTTTCATTGTCCACCTAAATAAAAGAAAGAGTATTTACAAAGTAACTCTAATTGAAGTTCGCCTCTATTAGAAGCTCATCTTAAATCCCCTATCGAAATTTAATCTATCTAACATATGCTCAAACAATTACCCTGATTAATTATTTTTTTCAATCTCTCACTCGTTGGGATGATTATAATTGAGAGAGGGTAAAATTGAAATTAATTTGTTTTTAAATTGAGAAATTCGAATTTTAAAAATTTGAAAGAAAATAATGTTAATTTTAGAAAACCTAAGTAATATGTATGCCTAATACAATTAATTATTAGAGAAGGTATCAGAGAAAAAGGTTTAAAATTACTCTGATAATATTTTTAATATATCCACAAATTATTTAAAATTTATTCTTACCTTCTTTCTAAACTCTTCTATCTTTTTAACATCCTTTAAAACTAATTTTTGTTTATCCAATTTTTTCTTATTTTTGTCCAAAATTTTTACAAAATCTTTGGTTTCCTTAGCCATTCTCGTCAAATATTTTTTTAAATTTAAACGTTTAGTAGCCAAATCCATAATTCTTTCCCAAGTTTTTCTTTTAAATTCATCATCTTTCGTCAAAGTTTTTTTCATTTCTTCATCTAATTTTTCTTCAAAATCTTTTTTAACGATATCAGTTTGTTTTCTTAAATTATTTTCTATTTTCTCTGTTTCTCCTTCATTTTTGAATGGAAGAAGAGATTTAACGAAACTTGTTGTTGTCTTTTTAAATTCACATTTAGACTCAATTTTGTGAATTATTTCGGCTAGAAACTCTGGGGCATTTTCTTTAATACCCAATTTCTTTAATTTTTCGATTATTCCTTCCAAAGAAATAGGAGAATTTACTTTAATGGAAAAAATTAAAATTTAATTATTTATAATAATATTAAAAATAAAAAAAGTATATTTCAAATATTTTTTAAAAATTTATTAAAATTTCAAACCAATTCCCTCGACTGTTTGTCCTTTCAATTCAGCCAATTTTATTTTCAATCTCAACAAAAATAATTTTCTCAGTTTATATTTGAGGTTTATCTTTTTCAATTTTTCACGTTTATTTTCTTCATTTTCCCCATTTTGGTTTGAAAATATTTTCGAAATTCCTTCCTTTTTAACAAAAATTCCTTCGTTTTGTATTAAATAATTATCTATATTTTTTGTGATTTCATCCTTTATTCCATTTAATTCCTCATCTTCAAGTAACCCAGATTTTCCTATTTTATCCTGATTATCAATCTCCAAAGCGGTAAAATGTACAATTTTCCCGTACAACCCGCATTTTAGAATTTTACTCTTTAATTCAATGTTCGTCTCAAAATTTTTTAAAGCTTTGTTTAAGCTTTTTAGATTTTTGTCCGACTAAAAACAAATTATTAAAAAAATGATTTAAGTAACAATAAGATTATTTGTTTGGAATATCATAACATGTGGAATAAACTGCTTATTAATCCCAATTATTTTTTTAATGTTAAGATAGTTATTCTTATAAAATAAACATTAAATTTCACAAAAATTTGTAAAATTTATTTAATTGTAGAAATCTGCCCACAATTTCTACACCCACAATAATTATAAAAAATCCACTTTTGATTATTGTGGAGAGACTCTTATTTTTAATTTTCCGGATCCTAATTTGGGTCTCTTAGCAACATTATAAGTCCTAGATCTATAATCCTAAGTCCAAATTCGATTAATTAGAATTTAAATTAAACTTGTAATTAATATTATTATTTTCATATTTTTAATATTATTATTTAAAATTTTACAAAATTTAATCCCTCAACTACACTTTTATTGACTAGTTGATAATTCTCGACTCTTTCGAAATCAAGATTGCCAGTATTGTTCCAGTTGGAGACAATAGTCATATAATGATGACTTTCCGTTAAATTCAATTTGTGCTTCTCATGATAAGGTGCTAAAAGAGTAAATTAATAGGGAAATAGGCTGATTCACCCAGATATCTTGTATCATGGAGGTACGAGGAATACTTCCCAACAGTTATTGTCTGCTAAACTATCACACTACCTACTATAATTAGATAAACTTAATTATTCCTTCTTATTTGAGCAAATATTTTAAATATTATTTACAAATTTCATTCATGAACTTGCTAAATTTTTCTTCATCATATCCAGGCATATCCGGTATATCCTTCAAAAGATCATCCTCTAAGTAGGATAAATTGAAAGTTAAATCTTCCTTCACTTCATTTTCTATAAATTAAAGATTATTTTTATCTTTTCCTTTTATTTAATTCCAAACCTTTATAAAACGGTAATGCCAATTTTCCAATATTTATTTTCTTAAATAATGATTTTGAAATGGGTTTTCTCCACATTTTATTCCAAGAATTAGTAACGGTTTCAGAAACCACGATCATAAGTTTCGTAACACTTTTTCCATATTTATAGGTTAATTTATTCGATTTTGTATGATATATTTCATTAACTTCCTTTTGCTTAATTTCTTGGATCCCTTCATGAGGGGTTTTCATTTGTTCTATTGTTCGATCAATGATAAGTCGAACCTAAAATTAAAAATGTGGAACTAGAAAATTTTGTTAAAAATATATTTGGGGCATTTTAGTTGCCCTATTGAGAAACGGTTTTCCTCAGACTAGGACACGGATACGGATTTTGGTATCCGTATCCGCATATTTACGGCGGATACAGACGAATACAGGTGGATATCCGCAGGCATTTTGGTATTATCTGTATCCATATCCGTATCCATGACCATGTCTGGTTTCCCTTATCTTCAACTATAAGCATACATATTTGATACAACATTTTTTAAATTGTTTATATCAATTACCATTTGTTTATTTTTCATATCGTCTGTACTCCACCACTTTTCTATTAATTCCGCTCCAAAATTATTTGCCGAAAAAATTCCAGCAGCAAAAGAAATAATTTCTGTTGGTGTGTTAACCATAATTATAAAGATTTTTTCAAGAACTTCTGGAATTTTTACCCCAAACAGAGAAGGAAAATACAAGGCGAATAATACAAATGAGCTTATCAAAGCACCGATTCCCATTGAATTAATGGACATTGCAGAAGTTTTTTGTATATCCATAGATGCTTCAATTTTTGATTTGATGTATTCACGGAATGCAATATCTCTTTCCTTGTTTGTAATTATTGGAGATGTTTTTGGGGTTTTAAATAAACTAAAAAAGCGTTTCCAATTTTTTCGTTTCTTTTCTGAAATTCTCCATTCCAACACAATTTTATCACCATCTGGTTTTGGAAGAAATCCTCGATCGTATAATTTATATAGGGCCGAACGTTGATGGTCACGCCATTCGTTGAATTCCAGAGGTATCATTGCACCAGAAGTAGCTGTTGCTACCTGAAATTTAGAGAATATTTTGTTGTTTATTTTATTTAAAAAATAATATTTTTAAAAATTTTTTTCTCATACAAGATTTGCCGGAAAAGCAGGAAATATTGAAGTCCATTGAGCATTTTCTGGAAACGATTTACTAATCTCTTCCATTGCCAGTAAGTTGTTAAAAATAGAACCGCCAGCGGCTATTTTTCCTGCAGCGACTGCATCTCTCAGATTTTCATCAAAAACAGCCTTAGAACTTGGCCAAAAACTTCCACCATCAAATGAAATTAACAAACGTTTTATAACGAGCGAATCAAAAGTTTCTGCTGCGAGGGGTGTCAACGAGTAGAGGAACACTCCCACAGCATGAGCACAAGGAATACATCCAGTCAGCGAAATTAATGAAATTATTCCCGGCCAAACGCCAATATCAAGAACTGCTGCTATAAATCCAGCACCACCCAAACTTAATAACAAGCCATTCCAAAGGTCTTTAGTTAATTCTTTAGCGTTGTAGACAGATCCGAGTATTTGTGCTCCGATTCTGTAATTAATTATTTAAAAACAAAAAGTTATGAGGGACTACTAGACAATAAAAACAAAATAATAATTATTATTTTGTTTGTAGAAAATTTATTAAATTTTATATCCTTGGGGAAACCATGTAGACATACTATATTTCTCGAAGCCGTGAGTTGGATCCCAAAATTTTTGTATTAGGGATCATCGGTCTGTTGGTTTGGGACTATCGGTTATCTTATTCGTATAAATTCGTGATATTATTCTGAAAATTTTAGAAATTACATATATTTAAGGTCCTGTCTGAAAAATCTACATATCAATTAAAATTAAAAGACAGACCTTCCACGGAATTCCTGATGTATAGTGTCACTTTCATCATTATAACGTAACACTTGTAGTATCGAATCTTTTAACATTTTACAATTTTCAATGCCATTGTCAATATCTGTCAACTCTTTTTTCAAGATTCTAAAATGTCCAACAACAAACTTTCTATTATTTTCAACCTTTCCTTTCTTCTGAAACTTTTCTTTTATTTTGCGTTTAAACCCCAAATTTAACCATTTAAATTCTTCATTTAATACTTCAATAATATCCTTTGTCTGAATCTTCCCTTCAAGATCTTCCTTGCCTTCTTTATCTCCCTTTATTCCTTCCATTTCATTAAATATAAATCTCAACAATTTTTCACTCAATTTCTTTTTCCATTTATTTTCAGAATTTTCCGACTGATCATTGTTTGCTGTTTCATTTTCTTCGGGAGTCGGATTAAGAAATTCCAGAGGATTTTTGAAAAATTCTATTAATTCTTCGTATTCTTCCCCTTCAATATTTTTAAAACGTTTGTCTGCTGGTTTAATACTCACTCCGAAAGTTGTTTCCTAAATTTTTATTTTTATCAGAACATTGATCACGAATCCAAAAACATTGAATGTTTTGTAATTTCACATATTTTTAAAAAAATTTCTATTCTTTTGAATAGAAATTTAGAATAGAATTTCTATTCCTTCTAAATTTCATTTCTCAATTATGGATTCGAACAAGCCCCCTAAAATATCAAAACGAGCGAAATCCGACTTGTAGACCACTCAACCACCGATCAACTAATTGGAACATGAAAGAAAATAAAAATATTTCTTTCAATTTTCCGTCGAACATTTATTGTTAAGTACGAAGGGGGTTTTTTCGTAATAATATTTTTTCGTAATTTTTAATTTTTATTTTCGTAATTCGTAATTTTGCCCGAATTTTCGTAATCGTAATTCGTAACTCAAAAAACGCCGTAATTCGTAATTATGACGCAACCCTGCTTTTGAGTGATGATACATATGTATATTAAAGGACAGAACCTATTGTAAGGTTAATTAATTAAAAGGTTAATTAATGTATGGTTAATTAATTACTTTAAGGAATTCAAATACACGCGGTTTATATTCAAGCAACTTCTTGTGACCTTCTTCATCTTTTTTTATTTCTATTTTCTTTTCAAAGGATTTTCTCGCATCTTTTTCCCAATCATCAAGGATTACCTTCCATTTACCTATCTGTCCTTTCTTTTCTCCAACTGTTTTATATCCGTTCAGAATTCCTATCATTTTCTTTTCAATTTCTTCTATTTTTACATTAATTTCTAATTTTAATTTCTTGTCAATTGTTAATTTTCCATCCTTCAATTTTTTTAAAGCCGAAATATCTTCATCAGTAACATCATGTTCCTCTTGCTGCACAATGAGGGTTGCATCTTCATTTTCCTCTGCTGGAGGTCCTTCCCTTGGTAGAGAATTTGCCTTCTGAGAGGATGTTTGGCTTCCAGTATCATTTTCTTTACCAATTTTTTTCTCCATCCTTTCAATGATATTTTTCAATATCATATGTATTTTCTGAGAAATCCTTTTAGATGTATTTTTAAATTTCTTCTGTTTTTGAATTTCGTATTTATATTCCATTTCTGGGATTTTTTCAAAATCCAAAATAGAATCCTTTGTGAATGCATTACTGCCCTTGTAAATTGCCTCAAGCAAAATATGTGTACTTAAACGAACATCTCCCTCACCTTCTTCTTCTTCCTCATCATTATTCTCTTCTTCTTCATTCTCATCTTCTTCATCATCATTCTCTTCTTCTTCCTTCAATAATTTATCATAAACCATTTTCTCTTCGCCATGAACCAACTTTTCCAATTCATCTCCAGAAAAAGACAAAGCGTTGTCAAGCAGAAATGCTTTTCCAAAAATATTTTTTGGCAAAGGAAAGCCAATATTGCATTTATCATTTTCAAATTCTATCTGTTCAAGTTTTTCTCTCATTCCTTCAATTTTATCAATTTTCAAATAAAAATATTCCAATAATTTTGCAACAGTTATATCTTTTGATGTAATATATTTACATCCTTTTTTCTTTGATCTTTCAACATTTTCATCACCCTTTATTTCAACAAAATCTCCTTTTTTGCAATAAACATCACCATCAATAACCTTCGGCATAAAATATTGTGTTTTACCAACCAACTTCTGAACATATTCTTCGGCAACCATCTCTTCAGTTTTAAATGAAGGAAGACTTTTAAAACTTTTTCTTGCCGACCCTTCAGAACTGTGTCTAGAAATTAAACTTCTTCCACCCAAACCACGTAGACTTCTTGCAGAAAAAGCAGTTTGGATCAAACAATTGTAAAATAAGAATAGCAGAAATGATTTTTTCTGCCGCATCTAAAGTTAAAATAAAATTATTTTTTTATTTTCTCTTATTTGTTAGTTCTCTTAGTAAAACTTTTCATAATAGCTTTTTAAATGCTTAATGGGACCTCTCTGAATAATATAAATTATTGCTTTGCTTTAAAGCATGGCATAACGGTCATAAAAAAATAAAAATGCAAGCCATTAAGCTAAAAATGCGAGCAATTAAGCCATAATAATTTAAAGAATAAAATTTAAAACAGACTGATTATAGAGAAATGGCAAAGCATTTTATAAGTCGTGAATTAAGCATGGCGTGCGTGTATTAGAGGCGGATCGCTGGGCAACTACTTGCGTATTAGAGGCGGATCGCTAGTAAAATCATAAGATGCCCCCGAAGCAATACCTACCACTGATAGAAAGTTTAGTTTAGAACTTATGTTGGGGATTTTTGTTATATGATTACATTTAAGTTTAAACAATTTTGAATATAATATAATGAAATCGGTGTTATATTTTAGCAGTAACCAAACTATGGTTAGATCCATATATTCCGATTCAAAAAGGTCCGGATATCCGCAGCTTTCGGTTTGGATATAGGACGGATCTTTAATAAATAATATATGTATACCAGGGGTGCCGAACAGATTCTAAAAAACGAAAGTCGGTAAAAAAGTCGAAAGACCAAAGACGAAATTGAGAAAGTAAATTTAAAAAGCGAAAAACGGAAAGCGAAAGGCCAAAGTCCTAAAATGGCGGAAGGCCCTCGCCTACGGCGGGCCTTCGGCCTGCCTCTCTCCTCTCTACGATTTCTCACAAGCTTATGACTCTCTCCTCTTCATGATTTGGCGCGAGCTTATTAACTCTCTATTCTTTATGCTTTGCCATAGCTTATCGACTCTCTCCTCTCTACGATTTCTCACAAGCTTATGACTCTCTCCTCTTCATGATTTGGCGCAAGCTTATTAACTCTTTTTTTAGCTCGAGGAAAGGTCCCAACAGTTTACCTTAACTTGGATTCAAAAATATTAATAATAAATTTAAAATTAATAAGTTTCCCTTAAACCCTTCAAATCTCCTTATCTGCCAATGGGTAGGGGATCATTGTGTACCGGCCGTTTGTGTACCTGGCCATATTTTAGGCCATAACTTTCTGGAGTTTCAACCAATTCGGATAAATCTTTTATCAATCGACAGCCCTGGATGTGAGGATTATTTTTGCCAACATGAGTTATTTGATCAAATCAACAAACAAAAAGTTACAGCCAGATAAAGATCAAAATCACGATTGCACGCATTTATCTGGCTGTAACTTTTTGTGTAATGATCTGATCAAATAATTCCTGTTGGCAAAAATAATCCTCACATCCAGGGCTTTCGATTGACATATAAATTATTTAAATCAATTAAGAATCGAAAAAGTTATGGCCCAAAACATGGCCAGGTACACAAACGGCCGGTACACAAGTGAGACGTTCCGTCTGCCAATCATATTATCATACTTCCAGTTCCACCGGGAACTTAATATGGGCTCTCCTTCAACTGGATAAATAAATAGAAACTAAAAATTTGTAAAATTAATTACTAACAACGAAGGTCTCTAGGTATATTAAAATGTTTCGCTTTAGCGGGAACTTAATATGGGCTCACCTTAATCCTCAGATATTTTCTCAAATACACATATGCTTCTTTTAAACCCTTCAAATCTCCTTATCTGCCAATCATATGTAATCCTACAAATCTCCTTTTATCATACTTCCAGTTCCACCGATATCATCCTTAATCATTAATTAAGTTATTTATTCCCTTAAATATTTTTTTTTGTAAATTTGAAATTGTTTTTAATTATATTAAAAAATTAGTAAGCACAACAATTCTTGATTTTACTATGTTGACACATTTTTAAATTTATTTAAAAAAAATTTTAATTCTAAAATATAATTTTATTTCTTGTTTTATATATTTTTTATAATTTTCATTTATTTTTATAATCTTCATTTATTTTTTATAATCTTCTTTCCGGAGGTGTGCAGAAACAGATTCTAAGAAAGTCGGTAAAAATGTCGAAAGACCAAAGGTGAAATTTCGAAAGTAAATTTAACAAGCGAAAGACGGAAGGCGAAAGCTCTCTCCACTTATGATGTGTTACGAGCTTATCGACTCTCACCTCTCTATGATTTGTTACTAGCTTATCGACTCTCTCCTCTTATGATTTGTTACGAGCTTATCATCTCTCTCCTCTTTATGTTTTGGCACGAGTTTATCGACTCTCTCCTCTCTATGATTTGTCGCGAGCTTATAGTCTCTCTCCTCTCTATGATTTGTTATGAGCTTATCATCTCTCTCCTCTTTATGTTTTGGCACGAGTTTATCGACTCTCTCCTCTCTATGATTTGTCGCGAGCTTATAGTCTCTCTCCTCTCTATGATTTGTTATGAGCTTATCATCTCTCTCCTCTTTATGTTTTGGCAAGGGCTTATCGACTCTCTCCTCTCTATGATTTGTCGCGAGCTTATCGACTCTCTCCTCTCTATGATTTGTCGCGAGCTTATCGACTCTCTCCTCTCTATGATTTGTCGCGAGCTTATCGACTCTCTCCTCTCTATGATTTGTCACGAGCTTATCGACTCTCTCCTCTCTATGATTTGTCGCGAGCTTATCGACTCTCTCCTCTCTATGATTTGTCGCGAGCTTATCGACTCTCTCCTCTCTATGATTTGTCACGAGCTTCTCCTCTTATGATTTGTCACGAGCTTATCGACTCTCTCCTCTCTATGATTTGTCGCGAGCTTATCGACTCTCTCCTCTCTATGATTTGTCGCGAGCTTATCGACTCTCTCCTCTCTATGATTTGTCACGAGCTTCTCCTCTTATGATTTGTCACGAGCTTATCGACTCTCTCCTCTCTATGATTTGTCGCGAGCTTATCGACTCTCTCCTCTCTATGATTTGTCGCGAGCTTATCGACTCTCTCCTCTCTATGATTTGTCACGAGCTTATCGACTCTCTCCTCTCTATGATTTGTCGCGAGCTTATCGACTCTCTCCTCTCTATGATTTGTCACGAGCTTCTCCTCTTATGATTTGTCACGAGCTTATCGACTCTCTCCTCTCTATGATTTGTCGCGAGCTTATCGACTCTCTCCTCTCTATGATTTGTCGCGAGCTTATCGACTCTCTCCTCTCTATGATTTGTCACGAGCTTCTCCTCTTATGATTTGTCACGAGCTTATCGACTCTCTCCTCTCTATGATTTGTCGCGAGCTTATCGACTCTCTCCTCTCTATGATTTGTCACGAGCTTATCGACTCTCTCCTCTTATGATTTGTCACGAGCTTATCGACTCTCTCCTCTCTATGATTTGTCGCGAGCTTCTCCTCTTATGATTTGTCACGAGCTTATCGACTCTCTCCTCTCTATGATTTGTCGCGAGCTTATCGACTCTCTCCTCTCTATGATTTGTCGCGAGCTTATCGACTCTCTCCTCTCTATGATTTGTCACGAGCTTCTCCTCTTATGATTTGTCACGAGCTTATCGACTCTCTCCTCTCTATGATTTGTCGCGAGCTTATCGACTCTCTCCTCTCTATGATTTGTCACGAGCTTATCGACTCTCTCCTCTCTATGATTTGTCACGAGCTTATCGACTCTCTCCTCTTATGATTTGTCACGAGCTTATCGACTCTCTCCTCTCTATGATTTGTCGCGAGCTTCTCCTCTTATGATTTGTCACGAGCTTATCGACTCTCTCCTCTCTATGATTTGTCGCGAGCTTATCGACTCTCTCCTCTCTATGATTTGTCGCGAGCTTATCGACTCTCTCCTCTCTATGATTTGTCACGAGCTTCTCCTCTTATGATTTGTCACGAGCTTATCGACTCTCTCCTCTCTATGATTTGTCGCGAGCTTATCGACTCTCTCCTCTCTATGATTTGTCACGAGCTTATCGACTCTCTCCTCTCTATGATTTGTCGCGAGCTTCTCCTCTTATGATTTGTCACGAGCTTATCGACTCTCTCCTCTCTATGATTTGTCGCGAGCTTATCGACTCTCTCCTCTCTATGATTTGTCACGAGCTTCTCCTCTTATGATTTGTCACGAGCTTCTCCTCTTATGATTTGTCACGAGCTTATCGACTCTCTCCTCTTATGATTTTTCACGAGTTTTACCACAAAGAAAGGTCTCAACAACTTACCTTAATTAAATTATAAAATATAGTTAAATACATATTATTAAGTTTTAAATTTAATTTTAAAAGTATATAAAATGACAAAATTATTTTCTGACAAGAAAATAATTTTAGTGGAACTTCTATAGTGAAACTTTTCGGCGCGCTGTTGTTTCGGCCCACTTTTGTTTCGTCCCCCTGAACAAAACTTTTGTTTCGGCCCAATGTACAAAACTTTTGTTTCGTCCCCTTTTGTTTCGGCCCCTTTTGTTTCGTCCCCCTGAACAAAAACTTTTGTTTCGTCCCACTATACAAAAACCTTGGGTTTGTCCCCTTTTGTTTCGTCCCATCTCAAAATGTCCAGCAGAGTAAAAATACTCAATTTGTCGAACTAAAAATTAAAAAAGGGGAAATCATACCTGAATATACATACATAAATTCTTCAGATATTAAAAATATCTTATCAAAACTTCCATAGAAATTTAAAAACTTACAAAACAAAAAATTTCTTAAACAAAAAATTTTTATCAAAAGTTTTAAAGTCAATGTCTCGTTTCACTTATTAAAATTGTGGCCCTAAAGAGGGCCGTTTGGGTTAAAGTTGAAGACTTCACATATCAAGGTCACCAGGCATCAGCAGCAATCTGCTCGACACAAATAAAAACACGTCCAGGACTGGATTGTCTTAAATTTAAAATTTTAAAAATAAAAAAATGGAGTGGGAAGTGGAATTGGGGGAAGAAATCTCCCCAAAAAAGGCCGCAAAAATACGTAAGGGATAACGGCCAAGGGGCTTCTAGGGCTATAGCTCCCCCTTGTACATAATGGGGAAAATAAAAATTTCAAAAAGCCAAAAAACTAAAAAATAAACCATGTGTCTGTAGTAGAAACCTCGCCATTCATTGTAGAATTCTCGCCGTCTTGAGATATTAAAAAAATTGAAGAAATTTAAAAATTTTTAAAAATTAAAAAATTCTAAATTTTCCATAAAAATTATCTTTTTTCGTTAATAATTGTTGTTGATTATTGCTAATTGTCTAAAAATATAAAGAAAAAGATAATACATACCGGGAAAAAGCACAAAAGATTTATTATTAACTTAGTGGGACGAAACAAAAGTTTTTGTTCAAGGGGACGAAACAAAAGGGGACGAAACAAAAGTTTTGTACATTGGGACGAAACAAAAGTTTTGTTCAGGGGGACGAAACAAAAGGGGGACGAAACAAAAGGGGCCGAAACAAAAGGGGACGAAACAAAGCGTAGCCAACTTTTCTCTATACAGGGTGCGTAAAAATTCCTTGCCCTCACTCTTTTTTTCATAAAAATTTAATCAAGTGGATTTTAACTTCAAAATTGGATTTTAACTTCAACATTAAGATTAACTTCAATATTTAACTTTAAATAAAAATAAAAAGAGGTCACCAGATCTTAATCCTTCACCAGATCTCACCAGATCTTAACTAGATTTTAACTCACCTTATCTTAATCCTTTGAACTATTCGGTCTGGACATTGTTGGAGCAAAAGATTGAGCGGAAAAGATAATAAACAATTGAGAATCTGAAAACTGAATTGAAGGGTGCCTGGGACCAAATTAGTAGTGATGATTAATGTGCGACCATCGTAGGAAATTTCTAGAAGCGTTTAGAGGCTTGTATAATATTTCCGCAAATTGGTAAAATTTTGAAAATCTTTTATAATTTTCTAGTAACGCGCATTTTTCTGAATGTATTTGTGAATATATTTGGCAAAATTCCATTTGATTAAATTTTTATGCAAAAAAGTGTGGGCAAGGACTTTTTACGCACCCTATACCGTATTTTCTCGATTAATTCCCCTGGGGAATTATTTTTTCAACCTATCTCTGGCAGGGGGAATTAATCGAGGGAGGGGAATTATTCGAGGGAGGGGAATTATTGTTTCAACGCATTCCTAAATTTAAAAAGTATGAAGTTTTGGCATTCTTTTTCTTTTTTTATTTATCTACTATTTCATTATATTCCCTATCATGCATCCATATAACTTGCATGTGTTTACTTAGTTCTTTATGTACTCAAAAATGTGTATATAAAGACTATAGTACCACATGATGGGTCATTGTATGATACGATACTAAGGGATATATATTATATCACCAAGTATGGAACCATATATACTTACCTACTTTATATATTATTTTCTGTACTATCCCATTATCCCACTATTTTGAATTAAATTCCGACCTCTTCAAATATATCTCTTGATATCCCTTCAATCCTCTGATATTTCCTGATTACGTTCAAATCCATTGCTATCCTCTAATACTCTGTTATCCTTAAATCCTATACCTTGATATTTCAGCTGTTAAATACTACTTTGATCCATGTCTACTTTTTTAGGAGAGGGGAAAAAGGAGAAGAAAAATAAAAGTGGTAATTCTTTTGAGAGGGGGGAATTATTCGAGTTTTGAGGGAGGGGAATTATTCGAGGGAGGGGAATTATTGTTTCAACCTATCTCTGACAGGGGGAATTAATCGAGAGGGGGAATTATTCGAGGGAGGGGAATTAATCGAGAAAATACGGTAGATGGAATTAGTATTCGAGATCCTCATTTAAATTCAACATTTCTTTAATAAATGCTACTAAGTTAATCTAGTGTTTTTGGTTAGATCTCGTCTTTTAAAAGAATAGAAATTATCTTTTTTTATCATTTATGTACAGAAAATTAAACAAAAAATTAAAAAATTATTCTTTCTAAAAAATATTCCTTAATCACAACCAAATTCAGTCTTTTCCTGTTCTCTTTCTGGATTTGAAATAATTGTTTTATAAAATAATCGTTTTTTAAATCTTTTATTATTCTCTTCTTTTTTAATATCCAAAAAATTTTCCGGAAACAAAAATATTCTTTTTTGAATTTCAAATTCTCCACCATCTTTTGTAGCCGAAAAATTATTATTTCTCTTTTTCCTTCTATTTATTCTCCAACTTTTTTCTTTATTTTCGGGTATAATTCCAAGAAGAAAATTAAGAAATGTTGTATTGTTTTGTTTAATGTTTTCTAATGGTACCAGACCCAATTGAAATATATTTTTATTTTCATTTCGCTTCCTTCTTGCCAAAAGTAATTGGCAAGTAAATAATGTTCCGGGTGGCCAACATCCTTAAAATTTTAAAAATAATTTTATTAGAATAAGCTTTTAATGAGAGTTTCTTATGCCGAATGCATTCAGTATTGTGTGCTTTATTTTAAATACACTTTATACTTTTCCAAAAAATACATTATATAGTAAAATACATTATATTTGATTAACTTAGTGGCCTTTATTAAAGAAAATATTGAGTTGAAATGAGGATTTCTACTAGAGATATTTTAAATTTTCAACAAATCTCATAAAGGTTTATCATAGGGAGAGAGCTCTACTACCTATTACATATTTTCTATTCCCAAATAAAATTATTTCTTACCAAACCAAGGTTTTTGTCCATCAAAATTAAGTTGCCGTCTTCTTCTTCTTTTTAATTGCCAATTATTATTTTGGGAATTTCCCCCAAAAAATTCATTTCCCCCAAAATAATCATCACTATTATCGTTTCCCATTAAATTTTTATTTTGATTAGAGTATTGTTGACTTATTGACCCATCGGGCAAAAGTCCAGGGCCAATAGAAGTCTGTGCTTCATTAGTTTTTATATTATCGGGTGACCAATCTGAAGGCAAATATTTTGATGGAATTTTTGTTGAAGATAAATAAGGCATTGTTATCATTTGTCTTTTTTCTCTTTCTCCTCTTAAACTTTTAAAAAGACATTCAAAAATATTTAAAAGTTTATCTCCTTTACTATATTCAATTCTTCCAACTATTCCTCTTTTTCTTCTTCGTTTTCTTTTTTTAAATTGATCATTATTGCCAAAAATATTTTCTGTTCTAAATTTAAAATATGGGAAATTTGAATATTCTATTTTTAAAATAAAACTGAAGCAAATTTAAAAAGATGTTAGTTACTGGTAAATAATGATGTTCCATATTTGGATTTTGGAAAGTAAAATTATTGCCCAATCAGATTTAGTGAGGCTAAACTCTTCCCATGATTTTAATGTTTCAACAAAAAATTCTGAGCGGTTTGAAGAATGATTTTTTTGAAAAAACAATTTTGCTGATCTTCTAATCAAAAGTCCAATTAACTCAAGTTGGGTTATAATGTGAGGGTAATATTTCCTTTAGATAAAATACTCTAAGTTTTAAATTCTTACTCTGATATTCTTTGATTGTTTCCTCTATCAGTAGATCCATCTGGCAACAAATCTGGGCCCAAAACGGAAGAAGCTGCCTGTTCTTGGATAGGTGGTTGAGGTTGTTGTGATCCAAGAGATAATTGACCAAGTAGACCCGCCAATTGATTATTATTTCCTCGACAACATCCACCTCCTCCTCCCCCACAACAGCCACATCCACAACAACATCCACAATCACAACAACAGCAACCACAACAACAATCACAGCAACAAGAAGTTGAAAATTTTGTAAGGAACACAAAAATTAAAAAAAGTCGAAACAAAAATTTAACAGAAAAGAAATTTTGACATTTCATTAGAAAATAAATTAACAGACTGTGTCTTCTTCTTATGTCAATTGACCATCTTTGGGAGTGGAAGAAGAATAGGAGAACAAATAAGAAAAAGAATTGGGAGATTTTTATTGTTTTATTTTCCAGTCTCTATTTACTCTTACATTTTCTTTTTTTTCTAAAACAATTGTTTTCTCGACCTAAAAGAATTTTTTAGATGACCAAAAAAATTCTTAGAATTAATTGAAAAGGAGTAGACATTATGTCCTATTTGGTAATTATTGTAGAATAACTGGTAACTAAATAATGTTCATATACTAGATCTAGTTAATATATTTGTTTACCTTTTACGTGTTTTATTTTCTCCTTAATCCGTATAAATTATTTTATTTCTAGTATCCGGTTGTTTAATAAAAATGTGTTAGTCTATATCTCATTGCCTAGATAATTTTTATATGTATCTAGAGGTCAAGGAATCTCTAACAATTATTTAAAATTTATTTTTTAAATTAATTTTTGTGATATTCTTTGTGATAGGACTTAAAAAATATTATTATAGTAATACGATCAAGTTGAGAGAGGAATGTAGGTGTTTTTAAATAATTTTTTATTAAAAAAGGATAATTTTTCATATATTTAATTAAATTATAAAATTTAAATTAACAAAATTAAGAGATAAGACTTAGCTTCTTTGTGATCCTAGGGGTCAAAATAATTGTAAATTCTTAAAATTTTGATTTACAAATTTTCTGTCATAAAAAATATTTTTTTAAAAGGAATTCAACCCAAACCATCATTACAGTTTCTCTCATTTTTATCATAATTAATCAAATAAAAGCCCAATGTGGTTGTTGTTGCGATTGTGGATGTGGATGCGGTTGTGATTGTTGTGGTTGTGGATGTGATTGTGGAGTTAAAGTTATTATGATGAATAACAATACAAACACGAATAATACAAGCAATAGTACAAGTAATACAACTGGAAATACAAATACCACTGCTGCTGACCAAATGATCCCTAGAATGGTTTTTGGCATCAAACAATAATTTTTTTTAATTTAAAAAAGTTTTGAAAAATTATTTTTTATAAATAAAGGTGGCTGATATAATTGCACAAGACTTAATTACAAAAATTAATAATAATTATGGGGATAGAAGAAATTATCCTGAAGATAAATCTGAGGAGGAAGAAGAAAGAGATGTTAGTAATAAAAAAAGAAAAGGGAGACCTAATAATAAATCTTCAAGGGATGGAGATAGAAATAATAGAAGAAATCGTAAATCTGTTTGGCCAGTTAGTGGAAGGTAAAAATATAATTTAAATATTTTTAAGACTGAAGAAGAATAAACATTCAAAGGTAAACATGTTTGTATTTTTATTAGGCTCATTTATTATCTTTTTTACCAGCCCAAGCATTTGTCTTAAAAGAAAACTTCATTTCATATAAACATGTCCAGAATTTTGTAAAAAAATTTAGAACTTGGTAAGAAAGAATACTCGACATTTTCACACTTATGTTACCGATTAAGGATTTAGGATTTAAATGGAAAATCTCATAAAATATCTTCACATTCTTAAACTTTTGTTTTTAATAAATTCAATAAATTTCCTTGAAAATAAAATTTTCAGTAATCTTTACCAACAATCAAGCCAACCGCAACAATTAACAGAACAACAATTAGAACAAAAATTTCAACAAGTATTTCAACTACTTCAAAGACCCCTAACCCCAATCCAACCACCAGAGCCACCAATTCAACCTCCAGAATTTCCAATCCTCCCAAAACAATCAGAAGATATTGAAATAAATAAACCAACAAAAATGGGTCCTTTACGTGTTATACATGTTAAACCAACAGTAAATGGACGTTTTGCTACTGTTGGGTTATCAGAATATGAAAATCATGATTTAAAACATCCTTTTGAGGAAGGCTTTGAATAAATGAATAAATAAATAATTCTTTTATTGGAAATAAAAAATTATATTATTTTATTAAATAAATACCGTATTTCCTCTAATAAAGTGGCCGCCAGCATTTGAACGGCCGCTCCAATAGAGCGGCCTTACATTAAATTTAATTTATCAGACCTGGCTTTTTAATTTAATTTATCAGACCTGGCTTATTAATCTTCCAAATTTTCAAAATTTTCGCTTGCAAAGCTAAAGCTGTATTTCAACTTTTATTCAAGTAATTTTCAAAAATATTTGAACATTTATAGTAAGTTGCACCCATTGAAAAATATTCAATTTGACGAGAGAGAATTGAACGAAAAGTATATTCATTTTCAATACTTCGATTAATTAGTCGACTACATTCAGCCAATCTTTGAGCCCCTTCAATTAAACCTAATCTTCGTTGATTATATTGAAGTAAAATTTTTGTATATTTATTAAATTCGTTATAAAGTAATTCTTTTCCTTCTGAAGACAGGTCAGCAGCATCTTTTTTTGAAAAAAATGAGTGTGTATATAAGTATGATAAAAATAGCCCGAATTGCAGATATTTTAAAATTCTACATAGATCCGAGCCTTTACAAATTAAAGTTTTACCTGCTTTAGTAAGGATAATAGCTACCAATAAAGCATATTCAATTTTTGTTAATGCAACACGTTTGAAGTGAACAACAGATTTTGTATATACATAATCTGTCCATTTAAGCATTCTAAAAATTAAAAAATATTATTTCAAATCTTTAGAATTTGTTTACATATCATCATTTACAGAATGCTTCATAATTGTAAGAGCTGGCATAACACCATCTTTCCGTGTCCAAGTTTCATAACCTAATTCCCAAGCTAGGTAGGTGCTTGCGAATGATATAAACATATAAGAAATATGCCTTAGATGTGCAATCTATTTTATAAAAAGAAAATTAAATATTAGATTAATCAAATTTTTCTTATGCCCATTTTAGTACACCCGTTATGCTAGGGGTGTAACGAGACTGATTTTAAAAGTTTAGGTCTGAGAAATTTAAGAACAATATCATAAGGGAGGATGGGATTAACGAGGAAAATTTGTGTCGAAATTCTCATACTTCTTCATATAGATTATATATACCTGATCAGATAAAGTCAATTTTTCAAAAACAGGAAAAGATTTAGCTATACCAACAACCACAAGTTTGTCAACTAAAATGCATTTTTTAACTCTACGATTAAATAATCCTTCATTTAGAAATGAAGATTCCCAACTTTTTAATTCATCAAGAGGTATTGGAATTGGATTTGGCTTTAAAGCAAAATTTTAATTTTTATTAAAATTTAAATTAAAATTTACCGAAAAAATCCCAGTTAAACGAAAAATATTAAAATTAGATGAAATTATTTCTTCAAACAAAATCGGGCCTTTAAGGAATATATCGTCCAAATCATCAAATGCATGCATAATACGTTTTTTGGCTTCAATAATTGGTAAAATTGAGGCAATTTCTTGTTCATCTTTGATGGATATGTCGACAATCGAAGGATTTTGAAGCTTAAAAAGTAGAGAGCAGTTTAGACAAATTTAAAACCGATTAAACAGTTTAGGTTCGTTTAATCGTGTTTGAACAAATTGGCTGTCCACGCCCCTCATGCATCTTTTACTAATTTAATTTCGTTTAATATTTTTGTTAATAAAAAGGAACTAATAAAGTTGCCTAATAAAGGATTTCTTATTAAGATTCTACAGTAACCCAATTTTTTCATTCCAACAGAAAAACATTTTTCAAGTCTACATTTTTTACAATCTGCCAAATTTATTTCAGATTTTTCGTTTTTATAAAAAAAAAACGAAAAAAAATTGTTCTTGCAATTTTTTGCAAACATTTATAATTACATTCACTATATTGAAATTTATTTTCGTTTTCAAGATAACGCCTTTCGAGAAAGAATTTTTAAATTATAAAAAAATAAAAAATACCTGAAAAAAGCCCCACAAGCCCGACATGAACGAACACCATAATGGAAACAAACTTTATCTTTTGTTCCACATACTTTGCATTGTTTAATGAAGTTTCTTTTCATTTTTAAAATAAATAGATATGTATTTTTTCTAAATAAAAATAAAATGTGACAATTCTTAATTAGTACATAAGTTAAAACATTTTAGATGCGTAGCGTCATTAACGGAAAAGTCTCAAAAAGGCGATAAGTACCCAGATCTGCTGTCTAGAACCGGTATTGTGATAATTTCAGAAGCTGATATCATGAAACTCACGTTTTAAAAAGCAAAGCTTGGTACGTATCGACAAACGTATGTTTAGTTAATTTGGTTTCCATTTTGTATTTGATCGTTTTCAAGTATACACTCTGTAACAAAATGATAGGACCCCTAGTTTTTATCAATATCCTACCAAATATTAAATGGATTTGTTTCAAATTTTGGGAGAATATAGGTATTAAAAATAATATAGGTATTATTTATTAATATAAATATAAATCATATTTATTACCAAAAAATATAAATAATTATGAGATACATATAAGAGAATGATTTTATTTTAAAAGAAAGTATTTAATTTTAATTTTTCTAAAACTTTTCAGCTAAACAAATAAATTTTCTAAAAATATATTAAAAAATTAAATACCAAGCTTTTATTTTTAAGCCATGGTTCTATTTGTGAGCCACCAGCTTTAATATAAAAATTTGAGATACGAGAATGATTTTCGTGGCTTAGAAATTATTTAATTTTAGTTTCTTTAAATTATCAGCTAAACAAATATAGTTTCTAAAAAAACAAAAGGCAAAACCTTCCCAAATCTATCGATATACTCTTAATTCCTAAAAATCCTTGATTCATCTCCATTGAGTCATTCATATTGATCCAACCTATTAATACCCCGGCCCCAAACCTATTCGAGTTTTAGATTAATTTTCCTTTTTTAATAATTATAAAATTTAAAAGATGCTTGATTGAAATAATTGGTCGACTTGTGGTTACTTATATGTAATGGAATTAGGGTAATAAAAGATGGCATTTGTTGATCGAAAAGTTCGAACATTTATAAAAAATACTCCCAAATCTGTAAAAGAAACTT